GATTCCTTTCCCATAACCACATTCATATATGGTCATGGTGTGACCGCTTTTTAGGCCCCTTATATTTTATTTTAGTACGTCAACCCATCATAAGTACAGTTTTAAAACTGTGTACATAATACACAAATATAAATCCAGGGACAATAGATAACTAATGTTATTAAATCAATGAGCCAATTGTTAATTCATCTACACTACAATAGATATCCTTGTTATTTCTTTAGCCCTTATATATATTCAATATTATCTTATACTATGGAGATACACGAACTGGGTATACCTACCCAATCTATAGTACATATATTGTAAATTTATTGATAAAAGAACAAGGGTAGTTAACGTGCTTTTTTTTGTAAATTTTATCACCCCTATGTATTAGATACAGGGGCGATGAACCGTGTCTATAGGGGTACGATCGATAATCCCGCATATGTTATTATCCATCATAGCTCTTAGCTCTACACTATTTTTTATTAGCTCTAGCTTTATTTTAGAAGCAATAAGTTAAAGTTTAAAGCTAGAGATCATTAAAAAAAAAAAAAAAAAAAAAAAAAAAAAAAACAAAACAAAATGAAAAATCTTTATCCCAGTCATAATTAATAGTGCTTTAAGGCAGTGGATTGTAGATGACTATCTGGGTAGATCCAGGAGATAAAATATTTTTCGAGATAGGATTTAAAAATGTGCTAGTTAAACGAAGTAGGCTTTTACTCCTCATCCTCATCACTGTGCATCAACCGTACAGCCTTTTGTACCAATGTATATAGATATAAAGTATCTGACGTAATGGTGGTGTAGGAGTGGCAACTCCTACAGGGTCATCGGCCTTCACATAGTCACTATTGTTCTCCAACAACCCTGTTGTGTCCGTCAAAACTTGCAAACCCACTACCTTATACTTTATACCTTCTACCTACTCCCTTTGCCTACCCAAGCCAGACGGATAAATTCTCACCCCAATGCCTAGAGTGAGTAACAAAGAAATTTCAATGGTTTAATTTTCCCAAGCTTTCCATTGATTGGACTTCTCTGGTCCCGTCGTAGAAATTTTAATCCCACTATTTATTTCTTAGCTTGAAAATGATAAAAGACACGTTATAATAATGTAATAAAAAAAAAGTATTACTCTTAAAATTCGTTTTTTGAATAAGTTTTTGACCTCAGGCTCGGGTTGTGTCGTATCATCTTATTGAACAAGTGCGAGGCTTGTCTCGTAACCGTTAAGCCGACTTCCGCTTATACCTACTTACCTACCTACTCCTCTACTCATCCTCAAACATCTTCAGCAACGCCACGACCAATGTACATGCCGATGAAAGCATATAATACATAATAACTAATTTTTCCCTCTTACTTGCCAGGAGTTTGCTATAATAATTTAATTCTCAATGTATATTGAGCCATATTTAAATATCTGTAAATCCTTTAGTGATACAGATACACACTTAATACATAATCTCTTGTTATAATTACAATTATAGTGACATTAATAACGCAGATGATGACGTTATTTTCTACAATGCACACATGATACTCTCTCTGGTCTCTGCTCAATATAATAGATAAAATCTTTCACTTGGCAAACCAAAATACCCTGAAAATAAACATTTAATAAAATTATACTCACGAGTAATATTATATATAAATATAAATATGAATATGGTGTGTAAGGTAGTTTCAACCTCGTATCGCGATAAGAAACTGTATAATCGCGTCTTACTTTTACACATCCACACATGTACATACTTATATATTTTCTGTATCATATTCCTTGTACATCCAGTTGTATATACCCCCTACTCGTTCAACGACCCCACGTATGTACGCATGCATACGCACGTGATAAGCAAACCGAGTGAGCGAGGGATTGTCTGTATAGTATGAAGAAATATATATCGACGATAAAAATTCTGTGGAAATAAAAAATAATAAATAGAAATTAAAAATTAGTTTTGAAGAATAACCGGAAGATTAGGATAAGATATTATTTTATATATTAAATGAATAAAATAAAATGAAGTGAAGGAAAAAAAAAATATCTAAAAAAAAAAGAGAAATCTTTCAACGGCGTTCTCAATTTACCGCTTGCTGCAGTAAGTCGTTGGTCTGCTCGCGGATAAAAAATTCTCATTGACTAGCTAGCGCGAACGCCCTATTGGAGTGACCCCACTGCTGTCGTAATATAACAAGCGTGGTGATAGTTTACTCCTTTACTTCTTCTTTTTCTTCTTTCGTCTTATACTTGTTGGTCTCAGCTTCTTGACTATTACATACACTAGGACAAAATAAAAGTAAAAAAAATAATAATATATACACCTAAACATAAAAATAAATGAAACGCAATGACGTCTGTGAGACAGAGGTCGAGCACGACGGCGTTTAGTCTGTATGGGTAGTAGTGGTATATAACCTTAAGAGAATGAGGGGAAAAAGTCGTCGCTATGGAATAAAAGGAGGGGCGATATATAGGGAGAGGCCTTGGAAGGGAGTTGAGCTCCTTACAGTGCATTGCCTTTTTACCATCCGCACTTCATACCCCCCCGTCACACCCCTTGCCGCCGTCGTCGTCGACCAAGTCCAACAAATCACACACATATATACTCACAACAGGCTCCTGACGTTCTCAAGAGCACGTCTAACAACCCAAAGGATTTTTGCAGCAAACCCCATTAAATTAAGCGGGTGAATTTCAGCTCCAGCTTCTAATAGTTTTCATTTTCCTGCAATTCATTCAAATTAAATTAACAAATTTTACTTATGCAATATTTATCGGTGCCTGCACTTATTAATTCTTTTTTATGAAAAATAAAGTAATAAACGTTTACCAAAGTATTTTGTATTATTATCACGAGATATATTCAAGCATATAGCGTGTGTGGGGAATCATGAAGCGCATATATGAATAAACACACCCTGGAACCGAATGTCGACATGAACCCGCGTACTCATTTCCACGAGTAAGCGGTGAAAGTCTAATATGTAAATTTTATATATCTATATACATATGTATTCACTTTATTTTATATATACGTACACTTTACGACGGGGTATAACGGTATATCCTCGTTATATTGCCCAATCATTTGTTATACTCTTTATGCCCTTAGAACTTTTTAAATCATAATGCATTCATATCATTTCATAATCTTATTCATTTACTTACTTACTTACACACATGCATATCAATGTATAACACTAAAATTAGCAGTCACTAGAGAATTTTTTAATTTTTTTTAACAAAAAAATTTGCTCCAAAAAATTATTTTAATAAAATTGCATTTTTAATTTTTTAAAATTTCTACATGTTAATTTTTTTTGCCATAATTTATTTGTTAAAAAAAAATCATTAAATATCTGCTAAAATTAATACTAATAAAGTTAGCCGAAGTTTTTAATTTTTTAATAATTAAATTACAGCAAAAAAAATATTTTTAAAAAATTGCACCTTCAATTTTTCAAGTTTTTTACAAATGAATTTTTTTTTTTTTTTTTTTTTTCAATAAAAAAAAATTCTTAAAATTTTTAGATGTCGGCTAACTTAATTTTCATAAATTATTATCATTATCAACGTATCTTGCTCTTGCTCCACTAGTTTTTCTGTAACATAAAAAAAAGTTTACTATTTATTAACCCAGATCATTTTTTTTTTTTTTTTTTTTCTAATTAAAAAAAAATTCTTAAAATTTTTAGATGTCGGCTAACTTAATTTTCATAAATTATTATCATTATCAACGTATCTTGCTCTTGCTCCACTAGTTTTTCTGTAACATAAAAAAAAGTTTACTATTTATTAACCCAGATCACAACGGTTTTTAAAAATCTTTAAATAATTATTTATAAAAATAAATTGTGGTGGTGGAGCAAATGTAAGCGGGATTATATTGGCTTTCTCTTTACATTCCTTATTCGTTACGTTTTACGACCCTTCTTGTGGGTCTTTCAAGTATGTTCAAGTTAAGTGTAAGGAATCTTAGTTTGTATGAAACTCAGTGGAGTCTTTCAAATTTTTATTTTCAGTTCTACAAATTCTTATAAATCCCTTCAGTGTTCCAAGTCCCTCGACCTCAATTCTTCATAACTCATCACTATCATTATTATTATTATTATTATTATTACATTCTGTACTATTAATAAATCATTTACATAATTACATTCAACATTTATACTATACAAATACTTATCAGTTAGGATTTTCTCAGCTAAGGATAATTTATCTTCATTTTTTTTCATAATTAACCCTCAAGTTCAAACACTTGAGTACAATTAGCCAGTTAAGCAGCTTTCAACTTAATTTGAATACCCATACTGAAAAAAAAAAAATGAATTGTAAATGTATACACCTTGAGTATATTAAATTACATTTTAAATACTGTATAATTATAACAATACATTGTAATAAGCTTATAATTTTCTCTTCAGTTTCAATCATCACCATTATTAGATGAGTGCGCCATCTTGTGACCAGTTGTTGCTATTTTAAAGAATGATTGTAACTTAACGCGACATCTTGTGGCACTGGTATAAAATTTTAACGTTGTCATGCAGATGCATGTGTACATTTATTTATAATATAATAATAAGTAAAAAAGTATCCTAAATTTTTATAAGAAAACTTAAATAATATATGTAAGATTTAAAAATTTTAATTTAATTAAATTGAGTAAAAACTGTGAGCCGAAAAACTATTATGACTCTCAACAATATAATTACGCAATAATTTGTCGACGTCGTCAATTTTGTAAGCATTTTATCTGTTTACTTATTTACTTAATAATCGTGTAAGTAATTTGCATTATAATTGACATATTCAGTGGTAAGTAAAAAGAATTAACAATTTTTTCTTATTCAAATTTAGCTATCAATTGTTGCTGTGAAAAAAAAATACAAGTGACGTGTACGGAAATCAAAGTCCTTTAATTTGCGGTGTGATGAATTTTCACCGTAAGACAAAAAAAAATTACTAATAAAGTATTTAATAAACAGGATATTAAAGCAAAGAAATGGAATATCCAACAATATCAAGAGTTAGGATAAGATTTGTGTATTTATTAGTCGTTGGATTAATTTTAACTTATAATTGTGTGCTTGGTCATGACGGGACAATAGAAAAAAGAAATACAGAAGATGATTCGTCGCAGATAAAGTGGTTTTTTGATGACAAAAATTTAACTAGCTCAAATAGAGTAAGAAGATCACCACCAGGTATTGTGCAATTAGAACCTCATAATTTTATTGAAGATCCCAAGTGCCGGGATGACGTCAAACGATTATGCGGTGCTATGGACAATTCTAATGATGATTTATTCATGTTGGAATGTGTGCAAACATTTAAGGTATTTACTATTTTTATTTGATTATTGTTCAATTAATTGTTTTGATTGTTTTTCTTTTTTTTTTTTTTATTCCAGCCAAATGAAGTAGCAGCTATTAATGAAGATTGTCAGCACGTTCTTTGGACGCACTTAGTAAATTTAACGAAGAATGAAAACATACAGAGATTAACTAGAAAAGCATGCGGCGAAAGCATTGATGAACTCCAGTGCCCAGCGGATAAGGAACCGGGAAGCTATCTTACATGCTTGATAGAAAAACGAGAAAACGTTAAAGACCAGCAGTGCTCTGAGTATATACAGAGATTAGAATGGATTGCGTTCAGTGATTTTCGTGTAATAACATCGATGGTTAATGACTGCCAGCGAGACATCGTTAAATTCAAATGTGGGAGGATCCAGCCTTATCGAGAAATATCACAGGGCCAGATACTGGCGTGTCTGCAGACCCATATCGATGAGCTCAACTCCAAATGTAAAAAACGGATACTCAAAGTGTCTGAAATACAAGCGGACAACGTTAAATTAGACCGTCAACTGTACATGGCGTGTAGACAAGATCATGTGCGATTTTGCTCAAACATACGTCCAGGCAGTGGACAAGTTTACAAATGCCTGATGCAGTACAAGTTTGATCGAGCTATGACCAAACAGTGTCATGATCAATTGACCAGACGGGAAAGATTGATTTCATCTGATTACAAAGTCAGTAAGGGTCTTGCTAAAGCTTGCAAAGAGGATATTAAAAATAATCACTGTCGTAAATACGTGTCGGATGACAAAGAAATACGGCTGGCACAAATATTACTTTGCTTAGAATCTGCGTTCAAAAATGGCAGCAAAATTGACTCGGATTGCCAGCGAGAAATGTTTGATCATCGGAAAATGTTGATGGAGGATTACAGTTTGTCTCCGGAGATTGTCAACGGCTGCGCTAAGGATATCTCTGAGCATTGCAATGGTCTGAAAGACGGCGGTGTTACAATTCACTGTTTAATGAAGCACATCAAAACGCGTAAGAAGAGCGCCCAGGTATCATCAGAATGTCAGCGTGCTGTTGAATCTCTGATAAAAGAAACAGATGCCGGTGAAGATTGGCGAGTGGATCCGGTTTTGCGTGAAGCTTGTCAACCGGTTGTTGATTCTTCTTGTCGCGACGTCACTGGTGGCAACGCTCGTGTTATTTATTGTCTTATGGATAAACTTGGTACTGACAGAATGCTCGCTGATTGCGAATCAGCTCTCATACAAATACAATACTTTGTCGCCAGAGATTACAAATTAGATCCTCAGCTGTACAAAGCGTGCAAACCAGACGCCGTACAATTATGTAATGCCAAGACAGCTTGGACTGATGACGGCAACCAAATGGATCCTGAGAGAGGTCCTCTAATACTTCCCTGTCTTTACAGATATGCTCATAATTATAATAGTAATATTAATAGTAATAGTGTGCAAAATAAAAATGATTTAAGTCTGAGATTTGAATGCTTGGAAGAAATCAGACGTGTTATGAGACAGCGAGCTATCAGTGTTGATTTACAGCCTGAAATAGAGCAAGGTTGCTTTAATGAACTGGCGACTTATTGTAATGACAAAACAGGACGTGGTGAAGAAGTCTTGTGTCTTCAGGACAACTTCGAGCGGTTTACTGATAAATGTAAATCAGTAATTGGTAATTTAACGCAAGATCAAGCGGAACGAGTTGAATTAAATCCCGTTATAATGTCATCGTGTCAACGAGTTATGGAAAAGTATTGCGAAGATGTATTCAAGTATGGAAAAGACGAGGGTGATATGATGGAATGCTTGGTTGATCATAAAAATGATTTAGATCATTTTGAGTACAAATGCAAGGCAGCTATTGAACATTTTCAATTGATATCCCTTCAAAATTATCACTTTACTTATAAATTTATGAAAGCATGCAAACCACATGTTGATCGTTGGTGCCAAAAAGCAACTACTAAATCAAAAGTTATTGAGTGTTTGAGCACTATTGTGCATGAAGATATTGTAAAGGAGAGTCAGCATAGAATTTTAAAGGATTGTAGACAACAGCTGAGAGCACAGCTATATCAACAGAGAGAAAATATACGTCTGGATGTTACTCTACAGAAAGCATGTGCTGTTGATATTCTACAGTTGTGTAATCAAGTTGAGCCTGGCAATGCTCAGGTAATTTATTATGCTAATAATATTTTATTGTGCGGTTAAATGCGTATTAATTTTTTGTATTTTTTTTTTTTTTTTTAAATAGGTTTTGGAATGCTTGGCGTCGAAAAAAAATAAATTGTCTGAATCGTGTCACAAGCAACTTTTTAAAGTGAGACAACAAGATTTTCAGGATAGCTCGAGTGACTTTTTGCTACTCAACACATGTCGATCAATGATGAAACAATACTGTCTCGAGGATAATGATAAATCTAAAGCACTTGAGTGTCTTAAGAGGTGGAAAGACGAACCGGCTTTTGATGAAAAATGCAAGAATGTCGTACTGAAACGTATGATCGAGCAGAATACTGATTATAGATTTAATGTTGCTTTGCAGTCCTCTTGTTCACGTGACATTGTCAGTCATTGTCAGGAAGTGTTGAACAATCAACCCACGGACAAAGAACTTGAAGGAAAAGTTATCAATTGCTTGAGAATTAAATTTAGAGAGGGAAAACTTAATAATAAGTGTATGAAACAGATGACTGTGATTCTGAGACAAGCTGCGATTAACTATCATCTTAATCCTTTACTCGCTACTCTCTGTGCTCAAGAGGTATTTTTTTGTTTCATTTTTTTACTCTGAATTTAATATATTTAACTAAAAATACATTTTTTTAATAAAACAGTAAATTTTTAAATAAAATTAAAAAAACAAATCATTTTTTACAAACTCTGTAGGTTTATAAAATTAATAAAAAAATTCATATAGTAAAGATAACAGATCAAATACCGAAACGTGATCCAATATTGGAATGATTTCGTAATTATTATCTTATATTTGTTTATCTACACTATGAAATACGACAAAAATTGTTTGTCTTATTTTATTTCATAAGATATAAATTTTATTAATTAATCATTGATATTTATTTAAGTTATTATAATTATATTTTGTAGATTGAAACAATTTGTCATGCTGACGATGATGATCCAGGAAAAGTCGAAGAGTGCTTAAAGCTCGAATTCAATAACAATAATCCAGAAATGAAGGAAGAATGCCGAGTAGAAGTTGCAAATCTTATTGAAGAAGCTAAAGCAGATATTCATATTGATCCTCTATTGCAAAAATCCTGTAGTGTTGATATAGTTAAATATTGCAGTGATATTCCTCAAGGAAATGGCAGACGTAAGTTTTAATATTAATTTTAATTATTGATTTTAATTTTATCTAATCTTGAAAATTATTTGTTTAGATATCGGATGTTTACAAACAGTAATGACTGATACCAAAAAATCCCTACAGCCTGATTGCTACAAGATGTTATCAACTAGAATAGAAATGTTTAAGAATGCCGCCAAATTACATCTGCCAAATTCGATTCAGGAACTTTACTTAACGGTGAACCAATCGCCGTCTAGGAAATATTTTATAATTGTATCTTTAACAATGATCGGATTTATTTTTATTGTTGGTTTATTCTGCGGTCGTGTTACACATCGAACGATGAGGATGATGAAAAATAAGTGAAATTTATCACTTGCTCATTGTAATTTATTAAAATTTTTTAGAATCATTTTTTTGTGAAAAATATTTTATAAAAAATTTATTCCATTCTTATTATAAATATCAATACGTAATTTTTCTAACACAAGGAAGAATATTAAATTTTTTAATGTCTTCCAATTTAATCTAAAAATAATTTTTACGTTGTATATTAACATATTGAAAAAATTAATTATTAAATCAACAATCAAATAATTAATACATTATCACAGGCACAATTATTTCCATTTTAAATGACGCACGATAATAATTTTTCATAAAATTTTTTTAATCTAAAACAAAATTAGTTAATAGAGAAAATGAAATCCGGAAATAATGAATAACTCACTCCTCTTGCCTCGACAATATAAATAACTATTTGTAAATGTTATAATTAATAAGAGAAAAGAGTGCATTTATTCGGATTTCAAAAAAAAAAAAAATTGTAAATACGAATACATATATCTTAGAAAAGAGAACCTAATTATTCCATCAAATTAAAAGTATGTTAATGTAAGATAAAAGTATATGAATGATGTCATCATATTCGTAAACGAATACTGAATCATAAAGAAAATATATTTGTAAAAAACTATTAATAAAAAAAAAATTTGTAATCAGAATTATGAAACTTTAAATATTTAAATACAAAACTTATATTAAGTGACCGGCTTTTGTTTATTAGTCTCAAGACATTCATTATATAAATTTAAAAGTCAAATTTCGTTAATCAAAATTTTTTCTTATAAAAAATGAATAAAAATACAAAAAAACCGTGCTATCCAGAGTTTTCTACCGGCAATGGAACCGCAGTCGCTGAAGCACTTGGTAATTGGGGATTTTCCAATGGCAGAACTCTTGAAGGTGGCATCAGTCGTATGAAAAAAATATTTAATGAAATGGATAAATTGTAAATAAATTTAATCTTTATTCTGAAAAAATTTTATCAAACAATAATTTTATTTAGAAAAACAAACAAAGGTAACATGCAAGTAGTTTATTCTCGCAAAAACGATCCGGAGGCTTGGCAGTACCCTCCAAGTTCTTCCAAATGTAAACCAGCCTGGAATTTTCCGGAAAAACGTCCTCTTATAACTTTTAACTCTACCACTGAAGTAATTTATGTATCCAGCTTGTCTTCGGTTAAGCAGGAGCTTGTTAATCCAGCTCCTGGGAGAGAATATCGCGCTATAGTACTGTCATATTTATTGTTAATAATTACATGTAGGTATAAAATAAATAAACAAAAAATTTTCAACCATCAATTTCATTTTAGGGCTCGGATAAATGGTTTAAAGCAGAACCTATGAGTACTTGCTACCAACCAAGTTTTTGCGCTACCTCACAACACTCCTGCTTTCGTCCTTGTTAATTTCTAAAATTTCATATTAATTATTTATTAAATTAACCAACAAAGAAAAAAATGAATATCATTATTCAGATGTTTTGAATCAGTTTGACAGAACAAATATAAATGTGAAAATTTGTCGTGCTCCGATGCAAAGTAAATTAACGATGGCATGATTTAAAAATTTCTAATTTTGTAAAGTACAAAAAAAAAAAAATTATCCGTCAGTAATAAATCAAACTATTAAAATAAAATTACAATGCCTTGCGATGGGAAGAATCCAAATTGTGATCGACGTCGCGAACTTTTGTCGCAGTTAAAATGTCTCGTGAGTTCCATGGATCGCAAGTAAGTTTAAATATTCCATCTTTCTGGATAAATTAAGTAAAATTTATGTTACCGAAAGAAAACCGTGCGAATGGGACGAGCCACCCTGTCCACCACCAGCATGTGTGCCAGATACTTCAGGGAGAGACCCTACAACACGCTGTGTAAATTATTTAAATAAATAAATAAATAATTAATTATCTTGAAAAAATAATTTTGAACATTTTATTTAATAATTTAGATGCCAATCAAAGCAGTCAAGAGTATGAATTTTCGGGGCAGCGTTATGTACAGATGCGAGTGTATTAAAAGAAACGGGCTTCAAGATCGCTGCATGATGATGGACTGCATGGGTCGTCCTGAGTGTATGACCAAGTTATACCCAATGTGTCATTCAGGAAGAGCTGCTTTGCTCAAGCTCACCGATCTTGGAGATACTCAGACCGCTCTGGAGAAATTTTACGCCGCTGACAAGGCTAGAGAATCTGCCTTGGCGGCCTATTGTCGTCTAGTTTGTCCTGAAACAAACGGAGACGGTTCTCCATGTGCTCCGCCTCTGTTCATAAGTCCCCCGTCACAAATTGGCTACCAACAGCAGTGTGATATGCCAGATTGTCAGCCTTGTCATCAAAATGAAGATCAGTATCACCAGCAAAAACCATCATCTTTTCCGTGCCATCAAGGTCCTGGAGATCAACTGTACAATCAAAATTGCCAGCCTTGCTATCAAAGTACTAATCAACATCAATCTTACGGCCATCCGCAACCGCAACCACTGCCGGTACGAAGACAATTACCTTATCAGTTGTGTCATCGAGGTCCTGGGGATTATTATCAATCATTCTATCAACAAAATCCAAGAAACCAAGACATTCGCTATCCAGTTCAAAGAAATCAACCGCAGTGTCCTTATCAATCTCCTCAATTCTCTCAGTTCCAACCATATCAACCGCAGACTCAATCTGCGCCTTGTATGGTTCCAAACTATGTACATTGTTGATTGTTAATTGTTAATTTAGCTGCAATAAATATAAAAATATAAAACAATAAATTATATTTTTCATTATAAAAGTACACTTAAAAAATCAATATTATATACATATACAGTATAAAGCAGTCGTTTGATATTTTACAATATATTTATAAGGAATTTAATTATAATATTATTAACATGTAAATTATTGAAAGATTGGCTAATCACCGCCAAATTTATATATATCATTGCCTAATTTTAACAGAATGCCTTGGTCGTTTAATTTCCGTATCAAACCATTGAAATCATCGACCAAAATACCATTGTCGATAGCCAATTCGTTCAAATCTGTCTTAGTGAAACGATTTACTCCACTTTTGACTTCATCTTTTAATATCTTTATAAAAGCTTTCACCTGTAAAAACAATTTTTATTAATCTAAAGAAAATATACTTAAATATTTATTGATTTGTAAAAATTATAACTTACTTTGTTGGCAGTTATTTTGCCTCCATCATTTTTTAACGTTGAATGTAAAGTGATTTTTGGCACACAAGACAACGCATATTTGTAAATTTCAACAACTTCTACGGCGTCTTCTTCAGTAGTTTGGAGTCTCAAAGACAACTTAGCCCTTGCCTACAATAAAAAATGATTAAAACGAATCAATATTAATTTATAATAAAAAAAAAATACCTCAGTAAGACGAATTAATGCTTCTAGTTGTCTGTGAAATACTGGTAGCGAGCCAAAGATGTGGGTCTGCTCTCTGAGCTTCAAATAAAATCTCTGCAATACCTTAGCAGCTTCTCTGGTCAGCTTGGGCTTTACATACTGTCTCGCATAAGCAACATACTTTCTCAACAAAACCTGAGGAATAATATCCTTCCGCCTGTTCGCAGCAGAAAGTCTTTCTCGAAGAGAAAGACCATCATCGATAGGCGAGTGATGCTCCACAAGAGCACTAGTAGAAGGAAGATTAGTCTTCTGAGTTTCCAGTTGGTTCCCAGCTCTTTGGAACCCTTTACGAGCGTTCATGACGTGTTCAACCAACAAGCTGTCCTGCTCACGGTCTGGCTGATCCAGTAGCAAAAAAATCAAGTCACATCTTGACAAAAGCGGCTGGCTGAGATTCAAGTTGTCAATAACTGATTTATTAGCATTGTACCGCCCACCAATAGGATTAGCAGCAGCCAGAATTGATGTTCTGGCCGGCAATGAGCAAAGAACTCCAGATTTAGCAACACTAACAGTCTGCTGTTCCATCGCTTCTAGAAGAGCTTGATGTTGCGTAGGCATTTTATCGAATTCGTCTATTAAACAGCAGCCACGGTCAGCTAGGACAAGAGCTCCAGGCTCGAGTGCAAAGTCATTGGTTCCTCCTTCTTTGGAAAGCGTGACAGTGAGACCAGATGACGTGCTAGAGTTTCCACAGACGTAGACACCCTTGGAAGCTATTCTTGCGCAAGCTTGAAGCATCTGGGACTTGCCCAGACCAGGATCTCCGACCATCAACACGTGAATGTCGTCTCTCGATGATTCATTTGCAGTTCCACCGAACAAACTCAAAAGCAACCCGGCTTTTATCATCTCGTGGCCGTAAATTGCAGGACAGAGCGATCGGACAAGCAGCGGAAAATTATCCGGGTCGGATTCAATATTTTGGATCAATTTGTAATCTTTATCTTCAAGCTCAATTCCCGAAGCGCTTTTTGTCTGAGATTTGTTCTTGTTGTTAACAATTGAGACTGCTTCGATGTAAAAAGCATTTGTCATAGCAAGATCTTTGCCTTTTCCCTTAGCTTTGGGTATTCCGTCGTCAATACCTCGAGCTTTGATTATCCCAACTACTGTAACATCATCTCCGGGTACGCAAGTACGAACCAAGTCGTCAAATAGCTCAACTTCCAAAATCCTCGGCATCTTTCCACTGTCGTCTTGCATGTTATCTAAATTTTCTTGCAGCTTTACCACTTGAAAAAGTGTCGTCTTAGTGTGACGCGAATCCAACCTGGGAGTAAACTTACACTTGCTGCATTCTTTGCATTTTTTTGGTAAAGTGTGAAGCCAGTCTTTCTGCTTGGTAACCTGGAAGGCCTTGCAGCTCTTGCAAGAAAACAGCATCCACCCGCACATGTATGACGGGCGCCCAACTCGGATTACACATCCGCGTGTAGCAACTAATTTTCCACGTGAGCTAGCTTTTAGATCACTCGAGGGTACTACTGGCTTTTGATTAAATATTTTAACTCGCAACATTGGTAGGTCTGGTAGCTGCAGCGAGTCAGCCAACACGTGATAAAGTGCTAGACCAAGACAATTCAAAGTTTGGCTAGGTGATTCTACCAAGTCGATGTTAAATGATGACCACTCATCAATAAACTCTTCGTCGTTGTTGAAGCGATCTACATTGATGTTGAAAGCTGGGCCTGTTTGCTTCGCTGATAAATACGGCGCATATATATCCGGATTTTTCTCCATAAATTTTATAGCTGCGTTTATTCTTATTATCAATTCATCGTCGTCAATATCTATAAATTTTTTATCAATAATATTAATTAGTTTTGATAGATTTTATTTAAAATTTTCAGATTTAAAAATTTATAATTAATATCTTATAATTTAAAGAATGTACTAATTAAATAAATAACAAATATACCTTCAGAATCAAAATAAAGTTTGCAACCAAAATAACGTGGCTTAGGTTGATTATTATTGTTAAAAGCATAAACATTTAACGATTCATCGTCACTGTCATATTCATTTTCAGCATTAAAATTCGGATGATTATTATCATCATCATCATCATCATTATCTAAAAAAAAATAAAGAATTAATATTGTAACTTGGAATGTCAACAATTGTTAAAAACTACGAACCTTTTTTTTTTTTGCTGGCCGCTCATCTTTTGATTTGTTGTAATTTTTACGATAACGTTTATTGTACGGTCTACTCATTTTTATTTTATTATTTTCAAATGATCAGTTAAGAATGAACACTGGTGACTGATAAATATATTATTTGTTTACAATTTTCATTGGTTAGAATGTCTAATAATAACAGTCAATTTTGAAAATTTGCGCACTCGCGCGCACTCTATGCTGATATACCGACAGTAAATAAAAATAATTTTATTATATTGGAATGTGTGTGTGTTTTTTTTTTTTTATGTAAGACGTGTGAAGATCACGGAGATGATCTTTTTTTATTTTGAAGGAATGGATTTAGTAAGATTAATTTTTAATTTGGTGTTTGATTAAATTATTTAATTAAAATCTAATGACAGTTAAGTGAAAGTTTATTTATTTAAGTTGTTTAATTTTAATTTTAATTTTAATTTTTCTGAAAGTTCATTATGTTCAATGGAGTTGTTAGAAATAAATGAATTTGTAAAAAATAATAATAATGACCTAAATATAAGCTGCAATACTCGAATCAACGATGCAATAACATACAATGATTTTTTTACGCAATATTTAATTAAAAATGAACCGTGTGTCTTCAAAAGTGGCATTACCAATCAATGGCCATGTGTTAACAATTGGGTTTTTAATAATGCGCCTAATTTTAAACACTTAAAAAAACTTTATGGTAATTTTTTAATTTATATATTTATTTTCTTTTATTAATCTTTAATCATTATTTATCTTCAGGTAGTTGTCAAGTACCTGTGGCAAATTGTAAAATAAAATACTACAATGCACAACTGAAAGATGAAATGACGATAGAAAAGTTTATGGATTATTGGCAGGAGTATAGAAATAAAAATTACACCACTGACATGCCTGTATTGTATTTAAAAGACTGGCATTGTTTAAGAGACAATCCAGGTGATCTTTTTTATAAAGTACCCAAATATTTTGCATCTGATTGGCTTAATGAATACTACTTAGCCCATCCACAGTTCTCTGATGATTATATGTTTGTTTATATGGGACCAAAAGGATCATGGTATTATTTATTATTAATTAATGAATTTAATTTAATTTAAAAAAAAACTTTAATTCTGATGAACATATTTCTTACAGGACACCTTTACATGTTGATGTATTCACGTCATTTAGTTGGTCAGCGAACATCGTAGGAAAAAAACGGTGGCTATTATTTCCACCTGGTGAAGAAAATAATCTTCGAGATACGCATGGTCATTTATTGTACGACATTGATTCTCCTGAGCAAGATAATTTTTGGTCTGGTTCTAATAAAGCTTTAGAAATAATTCAAGGTCCTGGTGAAATTGTTTTTGTACCTTCTGGATGGCATCATCAAGTTTGGAATTTGGTAATTAATTTAATTATATTTTTTCATTGATAAATTAAATTAAATTAATATTAATAAATTGTTATTCATCGACTAATCCAAGTTAAATTAAACATTGTAGGAGGATACAATATCAATCAACCACAATTGGATTAACGGATGTAATATATTAAATGTATGGAAGGAACTTAAAAAAGCACTACTAGCTGTGATGAAAGAAATAGCCGATTGTTATAACATGGACAATTGGAAATCCCAGTGTCAAACTATTCTAAAAGCATCCCATGGAATGGATTATTTACAATTTTACGATTTTTTATCCTTCATTATTAAAAAGCGAATAAACTCCATCAACAACAACAAACCCTGCACAAATTCCGACACACGGGAGTTCGGTGTTAATCATATATTATTCGATCTCAAACGAGCCAAATTTGTATTAAGTTACTTGATAGTAGATTCGAAAGATAATGATATCTATGATATTGTTTTTCGTGATAACAGGCCTGAAAATTTAATCGAATGTATCGACGCAATTTTAATATAAATAATACTAAGCTAGATTATTAATAATGAATAAAAAAAAAAAAACAATTGGCCTTAAATTAACAGTAACGTAAAATCAAGCCTAAAAATAATTTGATGAGAAACAACGTAATTACACTTATTAATATTGCCAACTCATTTTTTTATTATTTCTACTTACAACATTTTTTATGATACAATTTATGTCGTATTAAAATTTTTAATCTATATATAATATAATATAATATATTTATTTATTTATTTACCGTATTATAGATGTATTATAGAACTTAATTAATTAGTTTTAATAGTATGATGAGCACTTATTAAGTTTCTGATAAAATCAGTACGACTCTACATAGTTATATATTGTAAATAAATGTGCGTTTTTTTGTGTATGTATACAATATAAAAATTTCGTATGATTATTTATCAATGATTGATTGATTATTAATAATAATAATAATAAGAGAAATTTAATTATTTTCAACTATATTATGTATGTGATATATTTTAGTGCTCAGTTGTATGTTTAAATTCATTATTTATAATATTTACATGCACACGCCTTTAATAATTCATTGTACAACGTCAATTGATTGATGTATTGATTATTAAATGTAATGAAAATCAAATAATTTTATAGAAGCGTAAATCAACGAAAAAATATTTTATTAGACAATGCTTAGAAAGTTAGCAATAAATGATTGATTAAAATTTAAACAAAATTTAAAACAATTATTATATATATATATATATATATATATTTTTCATTTTTTTTCTTAATATACTCCAATTACGTTAGGCGCCATAACTATTTTTTTTTATTAATCTCTGTAATGATTTATTTATTTAATTTATCTCAATATATATATCTATTTATTTATTTTAATTGTTAAGTCCCTTTTTGTTTGCTTGCACGGCAAGTATCTAATATTTTTTTTTTTTTATAATTTTCACGCTTCAAATTTTTTCAATTTTCAAATAACAATTTATTGATCTATTCGAAGCATGATTGAAAATAATTTTTAAAATTTTTTTCTCCACACCTACATAATATCTATATATATATAATTTAAATCTGTATATACTTATATATTTTTTAAAATAATTGATGCGCCAATTAACCTTCTGTTGACAATAATTATGATAAATTTTACAGTGATATTTTCCGATAGATTTCCTCTTCTAATAATTATTTCAATTACTCTCTATATACTTCATCTAGCATATCAATTAATGTACACTCAACACAATATATATTTTAAATGTAAATATAAAAAAAGCAATTAAAGTTACTACAAAGTAAATTACTCAGAAAATTGACAACCATTAATTTTAAATTTATAAAAAAAGAAATAATCAAAATCACTGCGGACAATAAATTTATATATCTTTGTTTATAAAAACTTATAACAACAAATTTTCCCGAGTGTACATGTATTCAAGATTTATTATTTACAATATTGATAATGATAATTAAGCTACTAAGCGGCAGGCGCCGAGTAGAAAAAATTTTTAAAGTAAAAGTAAGGTAAATGATCCGTGATAGTGATAACAAAAGTAGCTTACCAATGAGATCATTCAAGTTATCATGATTAAATGGGATGAGCTGTAACGGATGAAGATAAGGGTGGTAATGTTGATGTAGGTGAGTTAGTGGTAGTGGTAGGCATTGCCGTTGTACTAGGAATTGCGTTGGGAATAGTTAGCGATTGTGGTGGAGCGGTGGTAGCGATTGAAGGACTGGTGGGTGAAGCTACTGGACACGTCGAAGGAAGCGGAAGCGGAGTTGTTGGAATTTGTTGGTGACTTGGTTGTCTAGGAGGTGATAGAAGCTCTTGTCGGTCTCTTTCTCGTTCTCTTCCAGGTCGCCAGGCTTCTAGCAGCGCTTCTACACGCTCTTCTGTCGGGCCCCAACGAGCTGTACCCGCTGCATTTTGCAGCCAGACCACAAGAGTTCCGTGAGCTGCTCTGATATTGACTTCACCTCTGCGAAATTTTTATTTTTAAGTATTTTTAAACGGAAGTAAAAAAAAAAATATTTGATTCTGTAACAAAATATTTTTCAAAATATCTTAAAAAATATTCTAATAAATTTTATTGGACTTCTATTTTATTGACCTACAATATATATCTTTTTAAAATTTTTCAAAATATCAGACGATAGTTAAAAAAAATAAAACATTCTTTAAAAATTAAAAGTTTAATGATCCTTATAATCATCTAATATTTTTTAAAGTATGAAAAAAATATATTTTTTTTAAAAATATAATCGCATTTTTACCGATGACCAAGTGACCCGATTATCGAGCAAATTTTTCTAGGAATACTAATTAGTGACATCCTAAAACCCATAAGCACTTTTTTTTAATATTATCTAGTAGATTCGGAGAATAATGAATTTGAAAAAAAAAAAAAAAAAAAAAAAAAAAAAAAAAATTTTTATTTTTTTACTCAAAAACGCATGATATTTCAGAGTTGAAACTGGGCTGAGATGTTGTCACAGAACCAAATATATATAATAAAGAAAAAAGTAAAATATACTTGGGTAGTATATGCTGAAAACCATGTCGATATTCATGTTCCATAGCAGGCACAACAACTTGTTTACGTTTAAAATGACTACTTTCAAGTTTGATGAGTGCGTTTGGCGCAGGATCGCGCCATTCCGGTAGAAAAACAATAAATGAAAGCGATTCTGTTGAGTCAGACAGTAGTCTCTCAAAATGATTGACCATAGCTTCCATAAGTTCTTCGCAATACGGAGGGTTTGCCTGGAAAGAACCGCTGATCGGCCTGAAGTCCAAGAAAGGCCCACGCGAGCCAAAGTAAGAGTCAGTGTCGGCAAAAGCCGAGCAATATTGTCGAAAATAACAGTTAAACGGAGAAGCAAAGCACTCAAATGCTACGCCAAATGATCTCTGCAGGCACTCGAAGACAGTTACAGGCAATGCCATTTGCGTGGCATGTCCCTCATTTATTCCTAGATAAGTCTGATAGCGTTTAAGCGCGCACCAAACGCGCGGCAAAAACATTTCAAACTTTTTATCGTCGAAACAATTGTACCTGTACAAGTGCTCGAGTTTCGTTAAGTGAAAATTGTTAATGCACATAGTGTCACCGTGATAACGTAACATTGTTTGCTCACGCTCAGGAAGATACTCGATTTGCGGCAATCGTGGTGCTGGCAATGAAAATTGTATCGAGTAGCACCAAACTTTCCGTTGAGTACTCGCTGGTCCACCAAGAGGTATCACATCTCCAAGGCCATTGTCTTTTAATATTTGATTGTTTTTATCCTTCACCTTTTTAGCGTAGTCTGTCGACAAGTTGTATATCTTCAAACAAATCCCCTCGACGCTTGTTTTGACAGTTTCCGTGAGGTGAGGCTGACACTGCCGCTTCAAGTGGCCAAGACGGTCTTGAAAATCGTCAAAAGTCGCGCCAACTGTTCGTCGCAACCACTGAAAAGTGTCCTCAGCGTTCCACTTGACAACTTTTCTACTCTCTGAAGAAGCTGACCTTGACTCAATCATTTTTTTAGCAGCCTCGGCGTACCTCGACAATTGTTTCCTCGCGTCGCCGGTAAATTTAGGCCGTACTATTTTAATGGGTATGTCGTTCATTATCTCCCGGTACATCGACATAGATATTTCGGGAAAACACTGACTGGGTAGCAAAGGATCCGAGCCGCAATCAATCACCTTCCGTTCCATGAGCCACCGATTGAACGAATCTTTTGGTGCATCTATCGACTCGCGCGTGTGACACAGTTCCTGGTAACACTGCCGTAACTTCGACAGGAGGCTGCAACGTAAAGCTTCTGCGTCTGGATGAACGTGCAGCAAATTTGAAGGTGCACGCTCGAAAATGATGACATTAGTCGGGACGTCGAGGTCCCACGGGCCAGGAAGCATGAATTTTTTTGTAGCGACTGCTGGGTTACCCTCTTCAGAGGCACGTCGTTTCAGAGGACCTCCCGGAGTTCCGGGAGTCAGCGGACCATTTCCTGGCGGCACTGGTGCTCCTCCACCGCAAATTCCCAGAGGGTCTGTTATAGGATCAAACTGCGGTTTTGTACCCGGCATCACCCACAATGATTCTCCGGTTAATTTGTTCCAAAAATACGGTCGGTTTTCTCGTTTGCTCCAAAATTTTTTCCATCCTTGCTGTTGGAGTTCTAATGATAATTCTGCTTCTGGGTAACCTGGTCCAACCTATTAACATTAAATTATTAAATATCAGTAACATTAATTTAAATATGAATGACAAAAAAATTGTATTATAAAAAACAAAAAAATTCTTTATAAGGTAAAAGATCCAGTTATTGACACTTGCAATTTTATTTTAATTAAATAAAACAAATCGACTTTAATAAATTAATAAATATAATTTTTGAATTATAAATTTTGAGATCATTTTATTTTTTTAATCAGAATAAAATTGCAAATGTCAATCAACTAGGCCAGTGTCAATAACTGGGTCTTTTACCTTAAATGTTTTCAGTAAAATTTAAAAATTTAAAATTTTTTTTAAGTACTGCGCAATTTAATATATTATATAACATAAAATAAAAATTAGTATTTTCGCGCCAACCTTATGAGTTACAAGATATAGATATAATAAAAAAAAAAAACATTAATTGTAAATAAAATAAATAGCCAATTTATTATAAATAATTAATAACCTGATTCATTGGCATTGGCTGCTGTAAATGTGACAATGGAGAGCAATGATCAACAACAATATTTGGAGTCTGGGGCATTGGTTGGGGTTGAAGTTTGACCGGTGTTGGAACAATAACTTGGCTGACATTTGAGCCAGGATCTTGGTGAAGAGTTTGCATCATTGAAGGGTGATGATGGTGAAGATTGTGATGGTGGTGCATTGTGCCTGCTACCGGAGATATCCCCTGGCTCGACATAACATCCCACGTTGTCGTGTTTATAGTGTTTGGTAATTCTTGTTTTCCACCACTCGCCTCATTCATATTTTCATCTGAATAATTGAAAATAAATAAATAATTTATGAATGGTAACTCGGAATGCTTTTAAAGTTGATTGGAGTAGTGGTAATTAGTTGAGAATTGATTAGTTTTATCACAATGATCAACCTGTGTTTGAAAAGCGAAATAATATTTTTAAAGTTTATTAAGTTATTACATGTAAAAATATAAATAAAACTTGGGTGAAAGGGATTTAATTTTGAATGTTATTTGGGAACAAGAGGCGGGCTATTTATTCGTAATTTGAAATCCAAGTCGACGCACAAAGATTATTGTGGTGCTCTGTTTGTTTACATACTAATAGCCCGCGTTAAATATAATTAAAGTTAATGACAATAATGAATAAATTTAATGATTATTATTTATTCTGTAGGTTTATTGTACTTACTCTATGTTATTTTTGTGAATATTTAATTGTTATTTATGATAAATATCACGATTCAGTCATCATTTGTAAAAAATTGACGCGACAGACTCCACCTGTAAGACGCCATTTGCTTGGAGACTGATCCGAAGTGCGGACAAAGTATACGAGCTGAATTATTTTTTCATCAGCGCACTCTATAATTATTTTACAACATTTGTATCGGTAACTCAGAGTGTTACTTTATTGATATAATAACAGGAATTTTAAATACTGACTGTCACTAAGAAGTATATGTATATATGTATATAAATATATTTCAAATATGAAAAGCTCTCAAGTACTGAAGTATGAACAATATAGAAAGAACTTGCAGGCAGGGGTGAAGTATTAAAACTTTATTAATTGCAAAAATCAATTTATATTTTTTATAAAATCTTACAATAATATTCACATTTTTTTTATGCAGATAATATTTGTAGAAAAAATTTTAGAAATACACAACAGTACGATAATTAAGATATTATGAAGATAAAAAAAATGAGAACATGTTGCGCTAAAAGCACAAAAACATGCAAGACAATTGATTAGAAAATACATTTTATTTCTGCATAAAAAAGGTAATATTTATCAGAAGTTATAAATGAAATATATTTGCTTTTTTTTTTTTCTAGTTCAAACTATTCAACTATAAAAACAATCATAGGCTGTTCTCAAAGTATCAAATTTTTTTTTTAACTTTCAAAGATTTTCAAAAATCAGGAAGTTATTTTTGAATGATTTCAAAGTTTAATTTTTTTTGCAAATCGTAAAAAAAAGGTTCTTTAATATTGTGAATAAAATAAATAATTTTTACATGGTTCAGTTAAATTTACTGGTTTTTCATTAATATATACAATCACGTAGTTACACGTCGCTAAAGTTTATAAAAAATGGGGATTTTGCCTCTATTTTAGCCCCACTTCTGACAAATATCGCGATGTTTCGTAGCAACCGACAAGACAACAAAGTTTTCATTGGTATATATTCGATCAACTCCCTACTCGCGATTTTTAAAAAAATATAAAAGAGCGTATTGATATATATATATATATATACAAATTTATTTACTCATCTTGGGGAATCAAAGAAGACAGATACATACTTACGTTCCGTCATCATAAAGATTAAACTAAAAATTTATGTTTTAATATGACAGTATTCTTGATGTTCAATACTAAAAAAAATTATTTTGATATTTATTTTGAAAGAACAATAATTCTATGTTTATTTTTTGTGAGTGTATCGGGTAACGATGATATCTTACATTTTACTTATTCGTTGAAATCCAGGTCAAAATATATTCAAACTCCAAATTCTGATGTGGTAAGTGATTTTGAATTTAAAAATTTTTAAGAACAATTTAAAAATTACAGTTATTATACTAATAAGAAAAGCTTGGAGCAAAAAAACTGAAAAAATTATATTTTCGAATAATATATATTTATAAAATAACATCAAGAATATTGATTTTTACAGTTTTTAACAGAGATTGTAAAATTCAATTTTCATGCAAACTACAGTTTACATGAAATTTTTCAATTGTTCTTTTTTCCGGTGACAAAAAAAAAAATTGTCATTTATTGCACCAATTGGTCTTAAGTCATTGATAATTCTGAAACAAAAAATAATTCTCGTACAATAAAAGTCAAAGTGTGAAAATGTGCGTGTAAACCTTTGATAACTTTGAACGGCTTGACTGATTTGGAAGAAAAAATTGTAAAATTAATTGTTTATAAATAATGAACGATTATTTTTTCACAGAGCCAGCTGCTCGAGTTGTGTTTCGCCGACCAGTTAAATCCAATATTCATCAGTTCAGAATTATTTGAATTGATTCATCCAACATCAATCAAAGCTATTGAAGCTCCAATTGTGGTGATTGACACAAACTTGGAGTTTAAAAATGCCATTTTTCTTCACAATTCCTATCCTAAATATCTTCTGGTGGGTGATACTACCGAAAAACTCGAATCTCTCCTCAAAAAACTCAAATCTTTTTCCTCTTGGAGTTCAAAATCTGAGACTTTTATAGTTGATGGAACCTCTGAAAAATCTTGTCTTCGGCAGGCTTCTCAATTTTTAAAGTTATTATGGAAAATGAATTTATTATCGTCATTCTATATGTGTCTCAGGAGTCAAAATTACACTATGGTATACACGTTCAACCCATTTACAAACTACGCACCACACCCATGGAAAGAAGTAGAAGTAACTAATAAACCAGATCCTCGATGGACTTTATACAATCTTCGATTCACACAAGGTCAGAGGACTATCATTTTATTTTTTATTTTATTGAAGCTTTGATTAAAAAAACATGTTTTCTTATTTATTCCAGATAATAATATATGTCGTCTTCTCCGATTTGACAAATCAAAATTGTTAAATGGTTATCCGGTTAAAATTTCTTTTCATGCAAATATTTATTTGGAGTTTCATTTGACCGTATTTAACAGTTTAAATCTCACTAGTCGTCTACATCATGATTTACAATTCCAAAAAATTCGAAATTTTCATAATAAATTCAAAACTGGTAAAACTGATTATACTTGGAACATAAATCCTCTCAAAAGGATTGACAACAATATAGAAAATGCCATTCCTTCATATCACATAATAGAATTTGCAATAGCTACTAAAAGTAGATACATCATTTCATCATTTATTCAAATTGACTCTGTAATTGATCCTTATACCGGTATATTTGCAATTTCAATATTACTATTAATTATCACTTTAATTGGATTGGTTAATGAATATCAATTTCCTGCGGCTATTGTGGATGTATATCGGTTATTATTATTAAATATGGGAATACATTCACCTATTCAAAAATTAGTTATGCGCATTACCTTTGTCTTGGCATTTATATTTGCATTTGTATTTTCTCCAGAACTTCAAGGAAAAGTTTTTGCTTTGTTAACAAAACCGTCGTACCGAAACATAGAAACCCTACAAGACTTATATGACTATAATTATCATGTTTTTTATGATACTAATGTACATGACAATATGATGAATGAAGGATTATGGACAACGGACGATGACCAGAAATATTTACACCGGATCGATAACCCATACTCATTAGATTGTTTTGAATTAGCGAGACATCATAGTTCAGTCGCATGTATTAGTTTAAGTTATTATATATTGAAATTCGCTTCTAAATACGAACTATACGTATCAAAAGATTTCATTTTTCCAACTTATTATGTTAAATTTTCGCGGAAGGATTGGGCGCTAAACGATCGAGTGGGACAGAGAGTATTACATGCTACTGAAGCTGGACTTATTGATTATTTAAAGAGAAAAATGGTTGATAATAAGTTAAAAAGGATTAAAGCTATTGAAAAAGCTTCAGAATTAGAAAAGTATGACCTTATAGATGAGACTAATTTAGTAGCGATGTATATGTTTATAGCGACATTGTTCATTTTGGCTATTGGTATATTCTTCTTTGAAAATATGATGTCTTTTTATGTCCCGAAGGCGCGGTTAGAATTATTAAATTTAGGATTACTAGAAAGATTTGAGCGTGTGTGATATTTATATTTTAAAATTTCACTGTGATTTTGTAAACACTTAATATATTTACTACTGGCATGTATGACTACTATAGCAATCATGTCGATTACTGTTAATGCTATTGCAAAATAATTGTATTATTATTATTATTATTATTATTATTATTAGTAATAGAAATTTATTAACTTAATTAATGTATTATTGTTAATTATTAATTAAATAAATTAAAGGTAACTTAGAAAAAATTGAACAATATATTTTTTAGTAAGTATATTTTTATTTGTTTTTATGCTCTTTAAATAATCAAAATGTAATCAACATTCAATTTATAATAACATTACAATAATGATTATATGTGTAACATAAATTTATAATATTTATCATATAGTAAAAAAACAAAGTTTAAAAATCAAATTGTAAAATTTTTCTATATATTTCAAACAAACTAATAAATATAACTCTTTTTTTCTACATATTTTCTATAACAATCAATAAATCATTTTAGATGTATTCCGTGAACGCCGTAATACAAAGTGTCAATAGTAAATTTTCATTAAATATATACTTCTTTAAAATTAACATAAATGTAGAATAAAATAAAGAAAAATATGATCGAGCACCTCATAAGGGATTTTTATTTTTTGATGTGAATTTTTACTTTAATTTTGGCACAGGCATTTTTATAATTTTTTTTAGTCAGAGATGTAGCGATAGTATATTAATTAGCAACATGCTTTATTAAAAGTATCTTTATATCCAATTGACAGTGGATAATCTTTTTATTAATCAGTAATAACTTTCCTGCGTCAAATGCGTTTAATCAATGAGCAATTAAATTTTACAAATCACTAAAATCACTAAAAATTTTTATATAATTATAATTAATATATCTTTGTATATTAATAATTACTTATTCTTAAATTCAGAAAATTACTTTAACATAATTTAAAAAAACCTATCTCATATTTGAATAGATGCATGTAATATTAATTATAATAGTAATAACAATAATAATAATGATAATAATAATGAATATTAATCATAATAAATATAACTATTAATTAATCAACATTACTCCTGTTCAATGGCACTAATATCAATAGTTTTCACCCGTGACGAATCAGTCGGCAAAAGCCTAAGCCTTTCGGGTTCGACATCAAGCATTATAATGCACATAAAACTTTTTCCAGAGGCCTGGTCTATTGGATAAATCGTAACAGGTGCAAATTTATCTACGGATCCATCGACGTAGGAGCATAACTTTTTATAAACCTGAGGAAAGTGTCTTCTGAGAGATACCCCACGTAATCTTAATTGCCGCTGAATATTCGCAAAACCAATTTCACGGATTTTTTTCGGAGTTGTTTCTGGTTCTCCAGCACTGTTTGATTGTGGTAATGATGTGAATACAAGTGTTTCAGGTGATTCCATTTCACGGGTAATATTACATGCTGGTGAAGAAGATGTTGGTTGTGAAGATGATGATTCTTTAGGATGTTCTTGACGCTGTTGTTGCTGTTGCTGCTGCTGCTGCTGCTGCTGCTGCTGCTGCTGCTGATGTTCCTGCTGTTGCTGTTGTTGCTGTTGTTGTTGATGATGCTGATGACGTGATTGATGAGGTTGTTGTTGTTGATGTTGATGTTGATGTTGATGTTGATGTTGATGTTGATGTTGATGATGATGATGGTGGTGGTGATGATGTGGTTTAGCGTCTAAGCGTATTTTACCACAACGAGAAATTAACTGTCGCTCCCACCTAACACCACCGACATCAGTTGACGGTACTTCATTAACAACACAAACCGCAACATAAAGGACCAACCTTGTTTCTGGGTTATAAGACTTGCAAAGCCGCATGACCTCTGCGTAAAGTTCAGTGCCCATTTCACTGAGCAGAAGATCAGACGAGCGGACATAGGTGGGCTCTCCTAGATCTTTGAAGCCATTGCTGATAAATTTTTCCGCCAACTCGGGACTGGTGAAGAAAAATTTAACCGCGCCTCTTCCGTGGGCCATATATCCGTGTCTCGCCAACAGTGAAATGTGTTTAAGCGTCGCCGGATCGTCTTTAGCGCTTGACAGTACTTGCCGACAAATGGCGCCGACACGCGAATGCAGACATGTTTTGCGGTGACGTTGCCAGTGAGCTCTTCTGCAGTCTCGAGAACAGTATAAATACATGCAGTAATGACAGCTCTTGTATACTCTACGTGCTTCAACTAATGTCGTTGTATTGTTACATTTATTGTGACGACATTTTACCAGGTATTTATCAACAGTGGCAGTATTATCAAAGGAGACACGACGATTACGTGATGATGATATATTACGATGAGATAGTGGCACAATATCACTGCCTTCACTTTTACGACGATCTTTGCTACGTTCGTTATTTAGGTTCGGTTTCTCCGTAGACTCAGTTAGATCCTGTTTAACGGACTCTGTGACAAAATTTCATCAATATTAATTTTATTATTTTATTTTATCAGCTACTTGATATAATTAAAATAAATAAAAATAAATTAAGCTCAAGTCAGCTGACAACTGTCAATTTTTTCGATTTTTACCACAAATAAATTACTTTTGAACTGTAAATAAATAAATAAAATTTTGCTTTATTAAATAATTAAAAATTACTTTTGTTAAATTGCACTGTACTTTATTAGCTATTGACATTTTTAAAGATATAAGCTCATCTTGATGTTACACTCATCAAGAGCTTTCATTTAAGTACCCACATGCATTTTTGATATATTTTTCATATATACATATATATATAATATATATAAATATATAAAATATATGAAAAATTGATGTGGGTACTCAAATGAAAGGTCTTGATGATTATATTATCGGGATGAGCTTATATCTTTAAAAATGTCAATAGTTCTCAAGATACAAAGTCATTTCTTAATTGTGTATCTAGAGATAGAGCATTTTCGAATTAAAAAGTATTATTTTAATAATTCATTTATTTAAAAAAATCCTAAAAACCATCAGATGTCAGCTGACTTCAGTATTATAAAAATAATAATTCTAATAACAACAATAATGATAATAATACAAAAATGATAATAATAATTACAACTATAATAATAATAATAATAATAATAATAAATAATAATCAATAAATGGATATCAGCTTGTAGCCTATTTACCAAAACTCACAATAACTAGATCGACCTAAAGGCAATTGTGATAGCAACAACGTACGTACTATGGCAATAAATTGAATTATTTCGTAGTACTTTAATTTTTTTTCATTGTTGAAAATCATAACTCAAAAGAAACTTACATAGTCCTCCTACCTTGGAGGTCTTGACGTAAATCACTGCAACTCTTTCCAGTTTTTCCTCCGGGGCTCGGCGTCCGTGATGAAGCTGACGGTAAACCCAGAAGAGAATCAAGCACATCTTCTAGTGTCGTTGATCCGGGACTCGGTTTATTCCGGAAAAACGCGGCCGTCATTGCCGTCGTTTGGGTATCTTTCATGTCTTCCATCATTTCTGATAAGAAAGTTTAGTAATTAGTAATGTTAATCACTTTAATCACTAACAGTAGCTTTAATAGTGCGACAAAAAAGGCAAAAAAAAAAATACTACTAACGAGTAGATGAAATGAAAACTAGTAATGAATAATTACTTACCGTGCAAGTGAGCTGATTTAATTATAAATTATAATATAAAAAATTCCTGGGACAGTTATAGATATAAATAATAAATAATAGTAATAAATTACAAAATAAACGCTGATATGAACGATAATTTATTCTACATAAGGATGTGCACTACATAAAATATCAATAATTACGAAACATACATTTAAAATATATCATTAGCATAAACATATAATATTGCTTTACGTTTGAAAATGATAAGTAAATAGAATAAGCATTTTTTGTATTTTTTTTTTGTTTTTTTTTTATAGGTAAATAATATTAACTAAAAAGAAATAGCAATCAATTGGCATACGTATTTGTTTATGATTATTACTGAAGATATTTTATATGAGTAAATAATAGCAATAATAACAATAATATGTAAGTGTATTAAATTGGAGATTGTTAAATAATTTAAAGTGAAAATAATAAATATATGGACATTGGATACAAAATCTTGTCTAAGTTAACATAACATAAATAATTATTTACTTATTTAGATAAAAAAGTTATTGAGAGCCAACAATTAAAGAAAGAGTGAAAAAATATCAATTATTATTTAATAAAATGTTAATTATTTAAAATTAATTTATATTATAAATAATTTCAAAGTTATAAATCTTATCAAAAAAATATATTTTGTTTATATAAATATATATTTTTGTTATAATATTTAAAAAAAAATTAACAAAATTTTACTATATTTACAAGTGAAAATTTGCACTGGCTCATTTGTTCAAAAATCTTAACTACGACGGAATTATCCGCACTTTATTTAACAGCACCATTTAATTGTGTCTCAGTACCTTTGAATAAAAATAAAAAAAAAATTTAATGATAAAAAAAATCAAATTCTACTGCTACTAGTAATAATAATAATAATAATAATAATAATAATAATTGTAGTAATAGTAATAATAAGTTTTAATAATAGTAAAAAGAAAAATAATAGCGATGAACAAATCGTATATCCTTAGGCGAGCAGTAACTCACCACGATGATGACTGTATCGTTGTTGAGACGTATCCCGATGATAACTCGAAGACGGGGAGGGACAGTTACTTGCGTCACTTTGGGCTAAATCCAGATAAAGTCCAGAATTAGTGGTTGATTCTATACAGCTACACGATTTAGTTGTTCCCGTAGCATCACATCCTGTACAACTACACTCTTTGTCTGCTGTCAAACTCACTGGCGTTTCCGGCGAGTCAACCGGTCGTGTTCCAACAAACGAGCTCTCCATCCAGCACATTTTAATGCCTTCACCTTTCATCAACATCATTATTTATTAATCTCCAAGCTAATTGCCACTGTCAAGAGACTTTGTTATTTTAAATAAATAAAATTGTTAATGGAGGAGTGGAAATGGTAGTAACAGTAGTATAGATAAAAAGATGAAGTTAAAGAGAATATTTAAGTATATCGCATCTCTAAAAAGGCAATTTTTTTTGCTAAAAAATAAAATTGAATATTTTAATAAAAACCAAAAATTCATGTAATTATTCAAGTCAGAAGTTTGAACAAAATAATATAATTTACAATCAAATTAACGATAAATTTACCTTATAGTCCGACTTTTATAAGTTTATAAGTAAATTATTAACTAATGTATGTATTCTACTAAAATCGATGTAAAAGTAAATACATATAAAATATAACAATGCTTTAAAAAAAATTATCTTACTAAATAACAATGAATTGTTTTATAATATGATTTTTAATTTTTTGATTTTTTTTTAATGATTAAATTAGAACAAAAAAATATTTTTAAAAAATTGCACTTACAGTTTTTAAAGTTTTTTACAAATGAAATTTTTTTTTTTATTATTTTGTAATAATTTTTTCAATAAAAAAAAAAATTTTTAGAAGTCGGCTGACTTAATTTTCATATTGTTTTAAGTGTTAGGCACACTTAAAAAAATTTAATGTTTGCGTTAGAGATAATAGAGTTGCGATATACTGTTAAAACAAAAAAAAAAAAAAAAACATAAAACAATTACCTGTAGTGTGGAGAATAATAGTGATGGTTGGTAGATTGTGGTGGGATGATGATAATTATATTTTAAAATATATAAATAAAATAAATAATTGTTTGTTTGCATTGTTTTGTCGCAGAGGAGTTGTCGCATTTAAATATGCTCACCTCTGGGACTGGCGAATCTATCTTCGTAATTTCGATGATGATAATTATCACTTCTGTCATCGTTGTTATCGTCGTTAAATCGAGGAGAAAGCCTTCCGCCTTTTACAGTTGCCTCCTGACCGCTTTGTACATAGTGAACTATAGCTGAGGTAACTTCTTTTATCGAATTCCTCACATCCAGCTGGTGGCTAGTTCGTTGTTGTTGTTGTTGTTGTTGTTGTTGTTGCTGTTCTTGTTCTTGGTGGTGTTGCTGGTGATCTTGCTGTTGCTGCTGCTTGGGGTCCAGCTGTGGGAGGATGCCTTGAGCAAGTCGCTCGGCAGGTGTTCGTGGATTCGCCAGGCGTTCCTGGGAGCGCCATCCAAGGTAGGGTTGCCGATAATTAAATGATGATCCTATTGAGTTTGCCGGGGAACTGCCAGCGCTGTTTAATAAACTTGTGCTCCATCGAGAGAATACCGGCTGCGGCGTTGGACTTGAAAGCAGTCCTGTAAAGCAATTGGTCATTAATTTTGCTAGCTTCGTCTCAGGAATAGCCCGAGAAGAAAAAAATTTTATTCAATATTGATAATGGACTATGATTTAATCAATTTTAATTAACATGATTAACTATTTAGTGTAATAATAGTAGTAGTAGTAGTAGTAGTAGTAGTAGTAGTAGTAGTAGTAAGTACAAGTACAAATTGTGACATTAGTGTATAAGTACCTCTGCTAGGTTGCCGGAGATTGGAAGACGATGAAAGGGAAGATAACGATGTGGTTTTAGAACCAAGCGAACGCCATCCGCTGTGTTGAGACGCATCTGAATGCCGCTTTAACCGAAATCCATCACGAGCTGCTGGTGAATTTTTATACCAATCTGGTACATTTAATCGTTGCAATGACCTCTGGACTCTTAGCTCGTGCTCACTAGGTACACGTTCAGCCGCCATTCCTTTCTGGAGCTCATTTTCAGGAGGCTAAAATTTTAATTCCAAAAAATATAACCCTTTATTAAATAACTTGAAATAAAAAAAAGAAATCGATCTCGTAGCTGATCGTCATTTATTTTTATTTACTTATTTATAAAGACTCGTTGTAACGCCAACGTCACAGCGAGTGTAAATAGAATAAAAGAGCTTTAGATTTTTCGCAAATGTCCGGTTTTAAAATGTCACAATTTCGACAATTTCTCATAAGCCTGAAACAACCGGAAAGCAAGCTGAATAGTTGAATAGAAAAGAAAAAATTAATAAATAAGTCAATAGTTTGTTGTTGATATGAATGAGCAAGGTCGACGTGAAACTAGGCCTTGCCCATGCTATGCTATCGATCTCGTGATGCATCAAACTTAGATGTGGAGTAGTCGATAGCCGATGCGCAATGGACTCGACTTGCAGTAAATACCTTTATGTTACATATCTATATATTATTGTAAACTTGATCTTCGTTAAAAATTTACCACCAATAGAAACGGTTAAATCTTTACATTGAAATATAAATAGTAATCGCACATACTCGAATCATTTATATTAGAATATAGTTTCTCTTTTTACCTAAATTGACAGTTACGTGACATTTTAATACGAGGTCAAAGTGTCGCGCCGTTATAGCTAGCTCTTAAGATCACAAATGATAATAATGATAACAATAATCACGATGATGATGATGATGATGATGATAATGAATACCGACGGAAGTAATGTATCCGCCGGAAGCTATTGACGTGGAGTGAATTAGTATTAAATACCGATACTGATCATTTTTTACCGGTTCATTTTATTTATTTTATTTTGGGTAACCTTTGCCCTTTATCAATGAGTCATTACTTGAAAAAAAAAAAATAAGTATTATTGTCACCTGCTGAGCGTAATAAACACTTCTGTTATATCACTCGCACATAATTGCTATCGAGGAGCGTATAAAAAATATCACCTTGATATTTTGATAATAGATAATAATTAATACGTCTGTCTGTTGAGATGTTCGATAGATAAAAACAAATAAATAAATAAATAAATAACGATGATGATGATAATATAACAGCAAGGCTATTTATGGCTTCTTACCTTTATAAAATGTAAATTCTCCTTATCTAGGAGAAACTCCATGGATTTATGAGGACGATTGTGGTTGATGTGTTCACCAGTGACGTCGTAGTCAGGATGGTCACTGGTGTTTCCGTCGCAACTAAACCCTGCTGGCGACTGAGGTACGCGCAACAGTACGTTTTCACGGCCTTGACGTGACGTATGAGTAAGGTTGAGTAGACTGCGGGTTTTTTTGTCAGTCGTGGAAGCACCGTCGTTGATAATACTCCCGTCGTTGATATCTGGCTCCCCGTGGTGTATATCCGCGTCAAGATCCGTCTCGAGCAACCCGCCTGGATGGTCTTTCATTTGGCTGGCTGACTGGTGATGCTGGTGATAGTTCAGATGATGAAGATGATGGTGATGAGGTTGCTGCTGCTGCTGCTGCTGCTGCTGCATTGCACGAGCTTTCGCCATTTTGATAATAGCCGGGTTTCCTAAGTCTGTTATCGCGCGCCGGCGCGTCCCAGCTGGCTCTGGAGACGACGTACTTCGAATACTTGCTGATGCACACGCGCGGACATTCTGTAGCGGCGGTAAAGGCGGTTTGTTCATACACACTGCTGCTCGCCCGTTTGTCCTGAAAAATTTATTTTAAACATTAATATTAGTTCTAGTTCACTAACATCCATCTAACACCTCTTACATATCTTCAATATTTATTTTTATTAAGCCATACTATATGTTTGTGTTAGCTTTTGCTATTTCTATAAATATTCCTTTAAATAAATATTCTAGTGTATAAATAAATATAAATGGATCAGTTAGTATTTAATTAAGCTGATTAAATACTGTTAAAAGTTGGTGTGGATAGTTTACTTTAAATATTGCCGTCTGATGATCTGATAATAAATTATAATTTCATTAGCTTAATTACATTTGTTATTTTGGTGTCACTAAATATAACGACATGGAATGTTTATCCAATCATGAAAGAGGTTTTGAGGTTTATGTCATGTTTATTTATTTTTTTTTATACGCATACTTTTTATTATTCAATTAGTAATTATCTCTAAGACAAAATAAAATATCATCAGCTTTGTACTTGTAATAAAATGACACATAAAATATTTTTTTTTTTTCTTCTACAAAGAAACTTTTTAATAAAATATAAAATTATAATCTCTTTCTGGAATGACATAGTATTTTTTTTTTTTTTTTTCTAAATAGAATGTAACAAAGAAATTTTTGTAACATAAAATTAAGTATAGTATAAAAATATGTGTACAACTGTGATTTAATATGGTATGTATTAGATAAGATAGTACTTGAATTTCCATTCTGTATGTAAGTTTGCAACCTGTTTACTCATTATTATTCGATGATAAAAAAACATGAGTAAAAAAAAAAATTTTAAAGAAGATAATAAAATGATTGTAGTGTAGGCGGGGGGAAATTACGTCAACATTATAAATATGTGTTAATCCCCCTACTGAGTACTTAACGCAGATCACCATTACGAAAGCTTCAATTGCATGATATTTCTCATAGAGGATCTCAGAGTCATGAAAGAGAAAGAGAGATAAAGAGAGGAAGAGACGCGATCTAAAGAAACGTTTAATAACATTTAATAGAGTTTAATATACCCACAACAATAAATTAGCCAGTTAGTAAGTAAGTAATTAATTGAAATAAAATAAGTACAAACAGATAACAATAAAGAAGCTTACCCAACAGACGAAGCATTGAGCTCTGGGTTGTTATCAGCGACGCTTGTGTTTTTTGAAATTTCACATAGCTGTTGTTGTTGTTGTTGTCTCCTTTGATCATTATTCGTCTCTTCCTCTGGTGCATGTAACGGTATAATAATATAATTATGTTCAGCAACTCTTTTGCCTACATTTACGGATTGCGTTCCACATGATCGCGTATCTGTTATTATTTTACTTTTTTTATTACTGGCATCCAGTCGTGGACTCTTAGAACGCCCACTAAAACGGAATTTCGAAAAACGTTGCAAAAAACCACCAATACGGCTTTTTTTATTTTTATCGTCTTCACTCATGGTAGCGTCACTTGCAGGAGGTACTGTCACCATAGTTGATCTTGTTGTTGGTACTGTTGATTTTGTTGTTGATAATGACGCGGTAGTTGAATCTAGACGATCGTTCTCCAAGCTCTTCGTCAACATAACTAACATCGGTTTGCTCCACGGCTGGTTATCGCTCCCTTCATAAATAACTTCCTCCTTTTTTCCCTCACTCTCCGTCCCACACTCGTCGAGGTCGCGCCCAACTATTGAATTACCAGATCGTGTATTCGACTCTGAAGTTAAAGCATGATTACACACTACAGATGTAGTATTAACTATGTTTTGTTGAGTAGGCTTGGGTTCAGTGCATTGTTGCTTATGCTGCTGTCGAGTAATTTCTCCCACCTCCGACGGATTTTTCTTTAAGATGCTTTCTTCAACCAATACCATAGGCAATTTCTCTTCCTCCTCGATCGGTTGGGGGTTCTGCCGATTATTCTCTGTAAATACCCCCTCGTTTATACCTGCTCCATTCACTTTTAAGTTACTATTGTCAACTAACAGCGCCATCTCATTGCTAATACAAAATTCATTTAACTCTGGATCTTCACTATTATTTTCAACTTCAAAATCATTTAATTTTTTATTACTATTATTAGTTAAATTATCACAACAATTAATATCCATTTCTTCTTCTTCTTCTTTTTGTTCATTACTATAATTACTATTATTATCATTACCAGTAGACAATAATAACGACTCAAACTCTCTAATTACTGGCTCATTTGCAATAACTTTTGTTTCTAAATATGAAAAATCTACTTCATCGTCTAAAATGGGTCCCACAGCGTTTGGAATACAATTACCAGTTTCTCCATAAATTGAAAAACAAACAGAGTTTTTTTTTATCTGACTCAATAAATTATTATCATCCGACTGGTTCCTGTCACCGGCTCCAGCCGATGAACTAGCACCACATTTTTGGTCACCAAAACCAGCTTCATTAAGTTCATCGCAAGCATCCATACGTTGAAAGGGTCTAGAGGTCAAATGAAGGGCTTTTATATAATCCGACTGCTGAGCCAACTCGTAACTTGCGTTATTGAGAACCCGTTTGCGTGTATTGGGTGATGAGTAGCCTGCAGCTGAAGACGATGGTGAATATTTGAAAATTTTATCATCTATTTCCCACTGTTGCGCTAATTCATAACTAGCATTATTTTTGACTCGTCTTGAACGATCTTTGGTAGAGGGAGTTCGCGGAATGCTATCCTTAACTTGCTCCATATTATCTGGAGAAGTTATTATCTCCTCGACTTTACTTCCAAGCTGACGTATTGCCTCGTCGACAACTGCGTCAATATTATTTTCAATAGTCAGCACATCGAATCCACGATCTTGAATTTTAACTGTTTTTTTCTTCACAATATTATTACTTTCATCATTGATATTTTCTTTTAAAATAGCAGATGATGAAATATCACAATTATTATCAATTTGTTCAGTTTCATTTTCAATAGATGGTATTTCTTTAACTTTTCCCTTGGCTATTATGTCATTATCCTCGGTATTATTGGAAATAATAGTATTGAACTGGTAATGTGCCATTTCATTGGGTTGGTAGTCCGCCATTTCACAATTATTATGCTCAGAATTCATAGAATCATACGTTATTGATACGACTTGCTCATTAGCAGTATCAAAAGATCCAAATAAATTGAGATTCACTGGTACACTGTTAACCCGTGTAAAATTTTCCGAGTATTTAAATGATGATAAACCAGTATTACTTACTGAGGTATCATAAATATCATTACAGTATAAATTACGAGTTAAATAGTCAGTTGACAATCCGTCCAAGTCTGTTGGTAGACTGGGTACACTACGGGACTTGTTGGTGAATCTAAAATTAAAATCGGACGACATCGAGTTGCTCCACCCTCGTTGTTCAACGGGGATAATTCTCGACGGTTGGTTGTTGCTGCTGTAATCTATATTTAGCTTAGTATAAGGTGAATCCGAGAAGGAGCCAACTTGTGAACGAGTAAGATTCAACAGCACAGCCTCTCGGCCATCAGATTCCAAACCTATTTCACGCAGGTCTATCGTACTTGTCCACTCCATGCTTGCTTGATGACGATAATTATTATCACTATCCAAAGTGCTTCGAAGATAATTTTTTTCTTCATCGTATCGTGGCTCCCAAACGTCTCTAAAGTATTTTTAAAAAATTATTTTATTGAGTATCCTTGAATCTAATTATAAATAAAATAAAACAAAACAAGATTTAATATAAATACCTTTTGAGTTTAGGCTGCTTAAAAGTAGTCATACCAACAAATTGACTATTATCACAACTAGTATCCAAACTTTCAAAGCTTTTATACGGACGGATCTTTGCAAAAAATTGTACATTGTCGTTGTTCGAATCGAATCTTTTTGACGGATTATAATTTTCAGTCTCTGAATCCTCTAAACTGTCTGGGGACGTGTTATCAAAGTAAGAATTCGAACAGTTTGAGTATTCAAGAGAGTCGTAACTGTAGCCTGAAGGCGAAACAGCTGCACAAGCTCGTTCATTATTTTCAAATTGTACTAAAGACGACGAGCACGATGACGTCGATGATCTTGACAGCGAGCGAGGTAACGTCGACCAACGATTATTATCTTTCATTAAAGCTGTCGATGATGATTTACACCAACAATAACACTCGGTTGTGTTATTTTGACAGCGACATTTATCTGGCACCATTGAATTACACTCACTCTCATTGCTATCTAATTGCTCTCCTATTTAAAAACAATAAACAGCGTATTAGTCATTATTATTATTATTCTCTCTCTTTTTTTTTTTTTTTTTTTTTTTTTTTTTTTTTTTTTTTTTTTTTTTTTTTTTATGCCTAAAGCATTACATCATAACTATACTGATAGAAGGATTTATTTGTATTAAAAAATATTTGTTAATAGTTAACAAATCATTAATTAGAGGCCACTTTTTGGTATTAAACAAATATTTCTTAGTATTTAAAATGATTTATTTGTATTTAATAAATCTGATATTCATTTATTAAATATTTGTTGACTAAAAAGTGGTCTCTAATAAATGATTTGTTAACTATAAACAAATCCTTTTATCAGTGTACATTACAGAGTATGGAAATAAATTTTTTATAAGCAGTCTGGATGCATATTCACCCTTAGAAGATTTCATAAAAGCTTGTCCTTAGAAAATAAAAATAAAAAAAAATATATTGTTAGTAATGTTTGTTTCAATTGAATTTTTTTCTCGTATAAAAAATTTATTTTCACCTGCAGTTTTATTTATCGTTATATGAATAACACTTTCAGTTTCAGAATCAGAACCAAGCCAACAAGTAGTACCATCACTTCTATCAGAATCGCTCTGAAGATCCTCTGAGGTTTCCTCGAATATCGTCTCCAGGAAATCAATCTGCTGACTTAGACAGTTTTCTGCGAAAAAAATAATAATAATTACTATCAAGTGAATAAAACGAGTCTTACTTTTCTTTTATAAAATATAAGTAATATTATTAATAACAATAATGATAAATTTTCACAAATTAAGATTATTTTCTATGTTCTGTACGCTGAGAAAGCGACCTAGATCTGCGGCACAATTGCTTACACACAATTGCCATGCAAAGCAACGTAATCTAAAATTCTCGTATAGGTATCCTATAAAGGAAAAAAATGTATACCAATCCTTAAACACCAACACCAACAATACTATTAAGCTAATAGTGTAATAATTAAATTTAGAGCGAGTAAATTTTCAGAGCGTGTGTGTTCCAATTATTGCACACTAGCGTAATTTAATGAATATAAAGCACACACACACATGCGTGTGAGAATTACATAAATAAGAGTAACTACTGGTAAAAAACTATAAACTATTAAATACAATAAAAAATGATATGAGACCATTAGACTGTTCCTCATGTGTAGGCCGATTGTACGTCTGCTGATGCTGGATCTGATATCCGTAGGCTGGAAGCCAGGGATTCGGCCCATTTACAAGATCAACATCATTCAGCATATCATTGTTTTCGATGTATGAATTTCCAGAGAGCTCGTTGTCTTCGCTATCAACTTTATGATGTACTGGTGTCGTCATTATCATACATTGATTATTATTACTACTCATTTTACTTATTTTCCTTATGTGAATTCAGTCTCAAATAATAATTATTCTTACAACAAACTATTTACATTAATTATTGACTCATTTTTTTAAATTTATTCATAAGCATTATTCTCGCGTTACTCAGTACTTAGGACTTTTAATTATTAATTATCTAATAATATTAATATTAATCTCAATATATTGATGGATAAATTATTTAAAAAACTTAAGCTTATAAACGTTGGAAACTATTGTCATGACATGAGTATTTTAGTTTCTTTTTACTTGTTCATTTTAATAATCGGAAATGCCTTATTATCTCATACGTATGTATTGAAATATCCATCCACATTCATATCACACACATACTTATTTACATACGCGCATACAATAAGAAAAAAAAATAAAAATAATAACAACAATAAAATTCGTGTATATACACTGTACAGTTACATGTCTACTTGAATTCTTTAGATTCTAGATCCTCTCAATCTCTCACTCATACATTATTATATTAGTTAATATACATTGACAACAGGTATATGTACACGTACCTATCAAAAATATAATTATTGCATAAACTACAAATGCGCAAGCGTAATACTAACCGCGGGTACATGTGCGCGAGTTATGACAAATTTAAAAAATCAACTATTTCATAAAATAATCTACAACATTACAGTAATTAATATTTTAAAAAATATATATATATATCTATATATGTATACTATAATTTAAAGAATTTTAGCACCATTTTAAAATCTCACATGATTAATTCAATTTTTTTTTTTATATAATTATTCTAATTATTATGAAACACTTGTCATTAGTTGACATTATCGATTACTGTTTTTTAATTAAAATAATATTCTGATAATAATATTTATTATTTATATTAATCGACGACAGCACATACAACATGGCGAATCATGCTGTCTTCCCATGGAATTGTAACCAATTGACAACAATGTCATTATTATTTAGGCGTTTTATTTCAGTAAATCACACACTTTAGTATATCTTTCATTACGTGATAGTATGGAAGAGTCAGTGATAGTGTTACGACATTATTGGAAGCACTTATTGGTATGTATTTTAAGTCAAACAATTGTAATAATCAGGTACATTGAGACTATGGGTTCAGAACTGATATAGACAAGTCCTGTTAGCTCAGTTATCCCTACTTCAATAAGTCACATGGTTAAAATGCTTCAATTGCTCACAGATGACAGCACTGTTCAATTACAGAAAAAACAACTCTTTCGGGGATTATTTTTATTTTAAATCCGTTTATTTATAAACTACTAATTGATTTTATTTTTCCATCAACCATTTATTTTTACTTTTAAAACTTTGAATTTAAAAGTCGAAATTGAGATAAAAGTTTGCAGAAATTTATTTAAAAAATTGTATTATTATCGGTATTAAAATATAAAGAAATGTATTTTTTTTATGGTTTGAAGCTTTATTTCTTTCCTTCGCAGAATCTGAAAAGAAGAAAAAAAAAATTTAATTAATTGTTAATAAACTGGTGGAAAAAAATTTATTACTCTGAGAAACGTTTAAACTTTTTGTTAAAAATAATAAGCTTAGATGAAAATTTTTTAAGTGATCGCTTTGACCTTGAAATAGTATTTACACAATAATAACGTTTGACATTTTTGTCATTTGACGTCATATATTGACTAATAAAAGTTTCTCGGGTATTAATTTATATATTAAAAATAAGATGCAAGTTTTAAATTAAAAACTCAATGAAAATCATAAAAATTATTTAATATTTACTGAAAAAAATATTTTTTAGGAGTTTTTTGTTAAATAAAAAAATTTTATTGCAAATTAACATAGTCTTCTCTTGATAAATTAATTTTTTACAGGGAAAAAAATTGATTATAATATGTGAGAGTATCAGATACTCAAAAATTAATTTAAATTTTAGGTGAAAAAAACATTTATAATAGTGAAGAAACCTGTTGAATATTCAAATCAAACATTTTCTTCATATCAAAGGTTATTTCTTCATGAAAAAATTAATCTTATTGTCAAACAATAATTAATTGAATACATTTTTGAAACTAAAAACTAATATTTGACTGATTTATTATTGGTAAGTTTGATAAATTTATTTCTTCTTTGAGCAAAAATTTTTTTTTCAGTGTTATTAATATTTTATAATAGGCATCTATTTTGAGACGGCATTTGTATTTTAAGAGTCATCCGTCAAGAATGCTCATTAATATAAAAAAGGACTTGACAGATAAATCCTCCGATGAAGAAAACAACTTTTAATTTATAACTCCCCAAAAAAAAAAAAAAAAAAAAAAAAAAAAAAAAAAAAAACGTAATTAAAAAAAATAATAATAAAGCAAAATAATACTTACGGTAGTCGAAATAGTCAAGCCTCTCAGACTGTCTGAGATCGCAATCATCATCAGCATTAGCAGATCTAATAGCCGCATGAGTTTGCAGATTAACCTTAAAAAAACAACGAATCTATAATGTACTGAGAAGCTATCGAGTATTTATAGAGAAAAAAAAAGTGGAGTTAAATAAATACATCATCGTCTTCAAAAGGTTCGTTGTTCCTCAAAGGTTCATTGTCTTCGGCCTCTTGACGGAATCTTAATCCATCGTCAATGAATGACTCATCATCATACTCTTTCTCTTGTTCATTAGCGGCATTAACGTTATCTAATATTGAGTAATCCTCGATAGACAATATTTCACTACAAGCTACCGTAAGTACTGATGATAATAATAGTAATACTAAAATCATGTTTACATAAAGACATTATCAAAAACGGATTAATAATTAAAAAATAATTAGCAAAATATGTATACAGAGAAATGTTCGATGACTAATGATATAAAAAGTACATTTAGGTTGACATGGTACTGACGTTTTACAACTTGAAATTATCTTTAAATAGAAGAATAAAATAAACAATATTTTTATGTAATAATTATAATAATAAATAATTATTTTTTCTGTCGCAGATTTAAGCCGGATATAAAACTCATATCACAATAATGTATGACTTGAAATTTTATGTGGATACAAAAGTGTAAGTTATATTGATATAAATAATATACCTGTTCACATCATGCAAGCTAACAAGTAAATTACGGAAATAAAATAGCTTTCGCCCCGGTTCTTTAAAAGTGAAAACTCGCTTCACTGTTTTTTTTACTTTTTTTTTTAAGTAATAGTAGAATTACTGTAGACTTAAAGAAGAAATGCACAATTAATATTACACCTGAAAATTAAAAATTAATATTTATTGTATACTGATAGAAGGATTTGTTTATAATTAAAAATATTTGTTAATATTTAACAAATTATTTAGTAGAGACCACTTTTTAGTATTAAAAAAATATTTTATTTGGTAAGTGCTACTCAGTTAGATGAATGAACGTGTGTTATGAATAATTATAAAATAATTAATATATGTGACTAATATGCATACAATAATTGTTTTAATTTGCAATGCCAAGTTATTTAAAAACAAAAATATTATGGGTATGTTATATCACTTAGTTGCTTTAGATAATAATTATTTGAAGAGTATTGATTATTTTTTTTTAAACTGATAATCGATTAACGTGTGGAATCAAAAACTACGAATAGCGCAATGTATAATGAAAGCATAACAGCTAATTTAAATATTACAAGAGTGTGAAGAAGACATGAGTAAATATTTGAATGGAATTCACAGCGGGCTCTAAAACGTGAGTAAACAATTAAAGTAATTACAGTTATAACATTAAAAATGAAATTAAATGGAATAATATTATTTAAATATAATTATAAAGTGTGTAATTGAAACATTCTTTTGCTTTTATTCTGTTTATAAATGGTTTTTTAATGCGTGTGTTATTATTGCGGTATGAATAGAGGTGACGGAGTGTGAGGAAAGTGTATTAAATATTGCGTGCGGTTTTTAAATTTTAGACACACTATTATTATCTCGTTTAAGAGTATCGCACTTTAGGTTTTAAGTATAATACAATAGAAATTTTGCTCTAAAAGATGTTACATAATACATAATAAAATTCATTTCATCTAATAATTATGTAAAAGATACATTTGTACTACCACAGAATATTCTTAATTGCGATGGTTAAATTAAGTTGTAAAGTATGAATTATATTGCTATTTTTATTACACATTTTAAGCGATGTCTAAGTATTTACTAGATTATTTTTTTTTATTCGATAATAAATTGTTATCTTTTCAATTATGAATGTAAATGATCATCGGGTAATTATATCGGCGGCACTATGATCATCGGGTATTATATCGGCGGCACTATGATCCAATATAAAGTAATAAAATTTAATTTAATTTATTATTTAATATGAGTGAAGAAAAAATTTTTGAAAGTATTTTACCTTCTCAAGTTATCGTTGATTTAATTTATTTATAAATTTTATTGCTTGGTGAGTTTGATCGAGTAGAAGTTGTATAAATAATTACATAAGAAGAGAAAAGTATAAAAATTCTAAAATCAAAATAAAGAAATTTGTTTTTAATGTTTGGAAGTTTTAATGTTACTTTTAATTTAATATTTTTATTAATGATTACCAATAAATATTTATTTAAATTTTTCTGAAGAAATCGATAGATTTTTAGGTTTTTTGTATACAAGTCTAAGTTTATAGTTATTTATTTTAACTATCATAAAATTTTAGTACTTTTTTATTGTTACTATTCAATTATATAAGATAAAATTTATAGTTATAGCTATAGACTAATATAATTATCTTGAACGTGAGCCTACCATCCAATTGTTGAACTAATGATAATTCCGTTATTAAATTTTTATATAAACAATGAATCGAGCAAAGAAAATGTTACAATTAATAATAACTTTTATTTTATAGTTGTAATTTAAAAAAATAATTAGATATAAATTATATTATCATCGTTCGACAGAATTGCTGGTGGATTTGTTGTTTTTAATGTAATTCTTAGCACGCGCTACGATTTTGCGTTGAGATTTAGTTATATAGTTACAATGGAATCTCATAATAACAATGAAATCGTGAGACGTAATAAAATTTTCAAGAACGGAGATTATATTGATGATAAACGTGACAATAATGTTATTGCTTCTCATAAATTACGGGCTATTAAATAGTGTGTAATGAATTAGGAGTTAATAGAATGCTATTTTATTCGTTATAATAAAATAAAATTCATTAATTTAACTTTTTCTTTAGTGATGAAAAATAATTTTTTATTCAAAAATTATCGAATGACAAGAGTGTTCTGATGTTCTATTATTATTCACCGTATTTTTGAATATTAAAAAATTATTTAGCCTTGGCGTGAGCTCTTATATTCATGAATCCGAACAAAAACAGTTTCACTGTAAAAAAATCGCGCCAAGTCCACGTTCTTAAGACTATTAAGAAAAAAAAAACTTAGTTTTTTACTTTACAAAAAGATATATAATAAAAAAATTAAAAAACCCAAGTAACCGATATGATTGTTTATGAATTTCGGATATTAAAAAGAATTTTGCTGTAAATTTAAAAATTAAAAAAACAATTTTGGAACGTATTTAGTGGCTGGACAAGATTTTTATCAGATCGTCAATAACGAAGATTGTACCGTAGATATTTTTTTTTTTCATCAGCATCTTTTTGAATGACAGTGACTAACGCAAAGAATGAAAAAATTTTATTTAGTACCATTTTAGTTCACTAGAATTGAATTTACGCGCGCAAGCGCGCGCCTTGACTATAGAGTTTGCATATATTTTCATGCTTATGATATATTCGACCAATCACGTTACGAATAGTTTGATGCCACATACATTTCATCTCAATTTTATATTAGGTACTTTAAAAGCATTTTCTTGAATTAAAGTTTTACAGATCGATTCTTGACATATATCCTTCAATGATTGAATTTGGTACTTGTCGGCAGCTTCTAAAAGATCTTGAGCATGAGCATCCAGATTGGTAACTTCATCCGTGTAAATATACTCTAAAATTTTTTCAAATGTAGTTGGGCTAAGATCAACTATGTCAATTTTATTTTATTTGTTTTCTTCTCGGTCATTTCATGCGAAAACATTGCTGCGAGAACAGGACTTCGTGCGATCAGGAAAACTTTGTGAGCTCTAAATTCTTTATACCACATACAATAATAATGACATCGCTTGCAATTTTACTTTTGTAAAGGTTTCTGTAGTCTTCAGTCATCGGACGTTTCGATGGAATACATAATGAAGTATCAGTTGAAGAATTAGATGGCTGTTCATAAATATAGTAAGATCAAGGCCCACTGTTAAAATATTATCGGACAGATTCTCATCAGCATTTTCTAGCAGAACTTTTTTTGATAATGGAAGACTTGTCCACTTATCTGACGTCAAGAATAAATGATGACCTGACGACATTTTCTTTTCTTTTTTTTTTGTCTAAAATGTAAGCTCAATATTTTATTATAGATGATGCAAAATTAACAGTTGGATATGATGACAATAATAGTTTTAGACGCACAATATCCTTGTTAGATGATCTTGAAGTATTCTCAAAAACTAGTTGAAGCTGCGATTTAAATTCGTCTTTAATTCCTGTTGAGAATTTTGGAGAACTCAAGGAAATGTTAATGATCCCTTGATTGGTTACATTTAAGTAAGCGTCAATGTTATTTATCTTCCACTCATAAGTAACACTATTTTGATTTATCATGGTATAACCTCTTTTCATTTTGATATTTTTTAATTACAGACACTAATAGTTAAAATTGTATGATCTTCAATTGTAATATCACTGAAAATTATAAAAAATTTAGTAATTAGTTTTATAATAAAATATATGAGTATTTATTTACTTTATCTAAAACAAAAAAGTCTACTGTCTACTTACATATTTTAAGGTTAAAATTTTGGTAGTCAAAGCATTATGAACTGGCCCTTAGTATTAAGTATCGTTACTTACATGTTTCAAATGCAAAAACTGTTAAGCGATCCACATTCTTTATAAATACCATGCGGACTAAATATTAGATTACAAATTATAAACAAGCCGATAATATAACAATGAGTCAGTTCAGCCGAACCAAAAGTTCTGAGAAAACTCAGTAAGAAAGTAAGAATTAGAGTATAGGTATAGTCAAAGCATTTTTTTCTACACTTATTCTTACTAAGTTTACTCAGGACTTAGTTCGGATGAACAGACCCTATTTATGCAAATAACTTTTCCAAAAAAAATTTGAAATTAATCTGCTGATTTCAGTATCATTATGTTATTACGTATTTGCACCTTTTATTCTCCTATTTTTTTCTAAAGATACTAGGGATGTATCTTTACCAGCAAATGTATCAATGAACTTATTACGTTTCTGAATTGCTTTTTCTTTATTATATCAGCAAGTTCTTCAAACAATCCAATGGTCTAATACTTCTTTTGTAGAAAATTGTAAACCTCTGAAGAATTTTTTAAATTTTATATTTTTTAATAATTGATTAATACTTAACGATAACATAAAAATAATTTATTTAAATTTCTTACTGTCAACAAACAGCCTCCAGCTGAACTTGCTCCATTTAAAGGCTCTCCACCTTTATCATATAGAAAAATATCTCAAGTGAAAAACCAAAATTTATAACAACATAAATTAATCTGAAGAAAATTAATCATCATTTACAAAAATCCTTATATCTTCAACAATAAATTGGCCTGTTGAGTTATTATTAATAATTTAGCTCCTGGTTTCTTGTGAATTTAATTAAATAAAAACTTACGTCAGACAATCACTACTCACGATTCTCAGGATTTATCCATGTTTACTATATATGTAGACTAATTTTTTTATTATTTTAGTTTATGAATAATGAATAATAAATATAAATTACACTGTAGCTGAATCTGCATAATAAAAAATACACATATCATATATTGTCATTATTTACAAGAAAAAACATTTGGCGCCACCTGTAGACTAGTGAGATGACATACTTAATGTCAACAGAGACGAAAAAGTCAGTGCTACAGTGCTACGTACGACCATCATAGTAATAAAAAACGTCACTACCGGGCTTCCATACGGAAGTGACGTAAAACGTAAAACGTAAAACGATACGACATCCGGCGATAGACACATTGTGTAAGAAGAGAATCTTTAGCTTATTTCTGAATTATTACTTTGATTTATAATCGTAAATGATCCTTATCAAGAATATCTTGAAAAGAAAGCAGCTGCAATTGAACCAAAAACAGAAAACGATGGGTCTCTAAACAATGAAAATAATTACATTGATCATTCACTCATGTTTTGTATCGAGAAGTTCATTAAATATTTTATTTTCTCTATTATTTTTAATTTCAAAAGTATCTTGCTTTTTGTTTTTATCTTATGCCTTTCAAGCAATGAAATAATATTCACGCAATATTAAACTCTATCACTTTCGAATTATTAATTTACAAATATGATTTTAGTCTTTTTACATTTTTTAACAATTGATATTTGCTATACCGTTTTTTTAATATGAAAAATATTCATAAAATACTACTAATGTACTTAAGATAAATTTTATAAAATTACGAAGAATAAATTATATTTTTTATTGTCATTTAAAAATTAAAATCTAAAATCCTTACAATTATAAAATATCTAGGACAATCAACTCTTCCTGTCCTGTGTCCTTCTTCCAATCTTCTGTCTCCTCTTTAATTAACCATCCCTTTTCAAGCCTTTAATTAAACGTTGTTTCTATCGACTGGAATTTCAATATGTTATTAATTCTAACCGTCTAAAATTATTTATAATCACTCGTTTTATTAAATATTTTACAAGAATATTTATGTACATAAATTATAAAAATTTTATCTATAATTTTACTAATCATCATCTTGTAATTTACGTTTTTTAGCGTACACTTTTTTTCCGCGAATTTGAGCATTTTTTCTTTTTGTCGCTTCTTTCTTTTTCTGTTGTTTGGCAATTTTACGTCTTGCAGCCAACTCTGGATTCGTAATAAACTGAAAAAAATAAAAATAATTTATCAATATAAATTTTTTTATAGTTGTAATTTGTATAAAGTAAAATAAAAAAAAAAAAAATTACCAGTTGCTTTTGATTTTTCTTCCGCTCAGATTTTTTGATCTCTATTTTCTGTTGAACCTTTACAAGTAATGAATTATAAAGCTCATCACCAATTCTTCTTTTTATCAATTTTCCAACTTCATTCGACAATTGTCTTAATGCTTCACTTGATTCTTCTGTTGTCAACATTTCTCTTACAAGCGGCGACATTAATTGGAATAAAATAGGCTTTAAAAATGGATCAATGTCTATAGTTGTTACCACTCCTGCGATCCATTTGAATACAGCTGTTCTCTGAAATAATTAAATTACTTCATTGTAATTTATTTGTTATAAAAATTAAAAAAATTGTCAGATGTCTGCTAATTTTAGCATCATAAAAGATAGTAATATTAAAAAAGAAAAAATAAATTTTTAACTTACCACATGCGGAGATTTTGAATACTGCCTAATCTCAAAATTAACAGACCTCTTCAATCTTTTTAATAACCAGAAAATAGATATGTTATTTGCAGTATCTTCACTTTTGTCAGGTGTGTCATTACTCCAAGGTATAGATTTAATTACTCGAGCAATAAATACTAAATTTTTAACAACTTGGTCAGATAATTCTTCTACGTTCATCTCGGGGTATAATTGTGCGATCAGATCTAAACTAAGACTCCGTAATGTTTTTATTGGATTTGAATAAATGTATCCTTTTATATTATTTGTATTGTTTAATTCTTTCTCTTCTATTTTATCATTATCATCATCATCATCATCATCATCATCATCATCTTCATCTTCACTATCATCTTCATTCTTAAGTTTTTTTACATCAACAGTTTTACTTTTTGACTCCTGAATAATTTTAATCAACTTGTCTTCATCAATAGCCGCCAAAACGAATCCAATTTGCTGAGTGGCAGCCAACCTGACCCACAAATGCGGGTGAGCCAAAAAGGATTGCGCGTACTCAGCAAGAGACTGTACTTGATCAACATACTTATCAGACTTCAAAAAAACTTGACAGTAAGAAGATATTTTCAACGTCAACTGCAGAGTTTGAAAGACAAGGTGATCTTTGACTCTATCTAAATCTTTAATCGTAACTTGATTATTTCTTCTTGTTTTCTTCAACACAAACTTGCCTTCTTCCTGATTCTCAGAGTCGCTAGCGTAAAATTGTTTAAGAATCAGCGGCAAGAGTTCTTCTAAATGTGTCTCAAAAGCTTCTTTTTTAACAGCGACAAAAATTCCACAAAGTTGAACAGCAAGACGCCTGTGTAATAAATTGCTGTCTTTCAACCACTGAAGAACAATCTCAAACAGTTTGAGACATTGATTATGATTAACGCGAGTAATTAAAACCTTGACACACTTAGCAGCGAATTTACAACAAGTAGGGTCTTCATCGTTGACGAGTCTAGCACCAACCATCAGGAATATCAATGCAGATTGTTTTATAAGAATGTCTTCTGGGAATCCGTTGATGATGTCGTGGATCATTTCCAGAGCACTCATCCGTCCCGGAGTCAATTCATAACTCAGTTGAGCCAAATAGAATGACAAGTGCTTCTCCAATTTCTTCCCGAGAGGATATTCCATAAGGAATTTGTAAAACACTTCTCTACATTGTTTTTGAACATCAACAGAGTCTGAAGTAACGCTAAGTACAGAAACTTTTTCAATGACTTGGTGTATTTCCGACGCCTTTATTTTTCTCTCTATAATTGCTTTTATCAAACTGAACGCAGTAGCACGTCGTTCGTTGTTATAAAGATCCTGTTCTATGTACAAAATCAGAACTTTTATTTGATTAAAAGTCATATTGAAGGTCTTCATATCTCTGACAAAAGTGGACATTGTTTTAAACGCTGCTGTCACTAGCTCAAAGTTATCTCCTTTTGCCAATCCAGCAGAACCGTATTTGTCAAGAATGCTGAAGACTGTTTCGCAGATACCTTCAATGTGCTGAGGAATAGAATCCAAATTCATGAGCAGAATCTTGTTGATAGACTGGAGAGACAAGGTACCTAGTTTGATGTGCTGGGATTTCAAATTGTCAGCAATGATTGGCACTAATGGATCCATATAATCTTTGAACTCTGCTCCGGTGATTTTGTCTCGTTTTAGAAGAATGTGCAGCAGTTTCATAGCGAATTCTGTTATCACGTGTTCATTAGCATCAGCAGAAGTTTTAGAAGCTGTTTTGATTCCCATCCGGGATTTGGGTGCAGCAGGAATAATGTAACAATCTGGTTTGTTAAGTTGTGGCTTGTCAGATTTATTCTTCTCCGATTTTTTGTCTTCAGATTTTGAAGTCAAACTGGGAATACTTTTGGAAACGATACCACCAATAAATTGCAGGATCTTTATGTCTTCTATGAAAGCATTGTCCGCTAATCCAACTGAAATATTATTTAAAGATTCTACAACCTTCATCAGAACTTTATGACTTCTAGTGCTGCATAAAATTTCATAGAAGGGTTGTACGAGATCTATGAGGCAAGATTCGCTGATAAATTCACCAAGAATACGGAAAATACTGATACTCTTAGTTGATTTTGCTTCAGAAACATTTTTTATTATGGCTTTGACTTCTTTTTCTTCTGAAGTCAATCCAAACAAATCAACTTTGCAAACTTGAAGTATACTTTGGAGATTATTATTGATATGGTTAGATTGAAGATAAGGTTTCAATGAATTTAAAACTGCGTGGATCGTATAAGCAAGCACGTGAATTTGGAAGCCTTTTGTCAAAAGAGAATTCATTTCTTTCAATAAGTGATGCAGGAAGTCTGGTCCAAGCGTTATCATTATCTTCTCGAGTATTTCACGCGTAGAACGTCTCACAGACTCCAAACGTGACTTCAAAAATGTGCAGAGCTTCATGAAAATACCAGAAAGACTTTTGTTAAGTATTGGGCCTGGAAGTTTTTGCAATAATTTAACAAGAGCAAGAGCTATTGGCACCCGCATCAGTTCTTCTTCTTCTTTTTCATATCCACTGCGCTTTCTGTTGACCTTGTGGCTCAATTCGTGCTGAGTTCTTGACAAAATTGAACGGTTTAGTTGCGGCAAAAGTGTGTGAGTGATATCAAAGACCAATTTTTTGGCAGCCGATTGAGAAAGAACTGTCAATTTTTCCATAACAAGTTCTGCTGATTCTTCTTTAGTTTCTTCTGATACTTTCTCTTCATCCTTCGCCAGTTCTTCATCTAATCGTTCTTCGTTAGTTTCTTCCACTGTATCTTCCTCTGGTTTATTTTCTTCTTCAACAGTTTCAGTTTCCTTTTCCGGTGGATCAATTGTCTTCTGATCATCGATAATTTTATCAACGATTTTCAGTTTAGCCAAATCAAAATGAAAAGCGTCCAAAATAGCGATAATTATCCTGATAACTTGCCGCTGAAACTCGTTAACTTTATTAATTTTATCCAGATAATATTTTAGTATCACTGAGTACTGATGCCAGGGCAATAGCCTGCAAATAGTGCCAATAGCTTCAATAGCAGCATCAACGATACTATTTTTGGAAGCGTAAGTTTCATCACAAAGAAACGAAGAAGCCAGTGGGAAAATAAACTGCGTTAAAGTCTTGATATTTGGAGGCTTTGTTAAAGTTTTTGCAAAGCTGCAAAATTTAAGCAAAGCTCTTCCTCTTCTGCCCACCTGAGAATGCTGAAGATTTTCAAAGAAATCAACTTCCGGATCGATTTTATTTGTTAGGAAATGAAGATCACGGAAAACAGGATGAGCATCGGAGCAGTTCATGGACAAAGTACCAAAAAATGAAATAGATTGTAGCTTAATGTGGTCATTTTTACTCTTAATTCCTTCTTTAATCAAACTCAATATCGTATCTTCAATCAAGTATAACCTATCAACATTATTCGACTTGTACATGTTAATTAATTTCACTCCCAAAGTGTTTATGCACCATCTAGATTCACTTCTCAGCGCTAAATCTGTTTCGTGTTTCAAAAAATGGTAACAATTGTACAAAACAGCAACTCCAAATTCTAGAGTAAGTGTCTTTGAAACTTCATCATCTTGGCTGGATATAATTGAGTTTATTTGTTGGAAAGTTTCAAGCCTTTTTTCACAATCCGGTTGTTCAACCCATCGTGGATTCATAGCATTCAAAGATACCAAAAGCTCCAGATTGCGCATCATTGTTTCTTTAGAAACTATTGTCTTGAATATTTCTAACAGATTTTTTCTTAAAGACACTGATGAAATGTAGAACAATAAAGGCAGAAGAGACTTCAAATGTTCTTGAGGTTTGTCCACATTCTTCAGTAAATTCGTTATAGTAATAAGAAGTTCTTCAATTATTTGATCAGATTCTCCTCTGGACGCCCGTTTTACTGCAATTGGTATCAACAAAAGAGTCAAAGTGTTGGATGTTTCAGAATTGAGACTCAATTCTGAAATTCTGGACAGTATCGCAGCCTCTATTTTCTTGACATTCATTTTGGACTTTAGCAACCTTCGTTTCAGAAACTCTAGAACATCTGGAACGTAGGGCAAAAGTATCGCAGATCCGTAGTTAATAAACTTCCCAGGCAAGGCAGTTTCTGCGTTGACTTCTAAGATATTCGTCGGGTTCAAAGGGACAATAGGCAATGTGTCAGCATCATCTACTTCCATTTTCTCATAATCTTGCAGAGTTAACAAATTTTTGATCATTTCGAGAATAGTATTCACAACAGTGTGATGAGTCTTTTCTCCCAAAAGCAGCTTCATGATAAAAGGCAAGCAAATCATTTTCTGATTATCTTCTTGATGCTTTATAAGAAGACAGTGGTACCGCGGATTTTGACACCATGCACTGAAAAGCTTCAAGAGAACTGTGGGACTGTAGACACCTTCAGTTGGTAATTTTTCAAGCCAAGGAAACACCGCGACATCAAACAGAGCATCTAGTTCTGCTTGAGACCATTCGTAGGTTTCAAAGTGTTCGAAAAATCTTCCAAGGATTCCCATGCAGGTATTCTTCAGCTCTTTTGTGATCGATAAAAATCCTGAAAGGACATTTTTCGAACGATTTAAGATGCCGTTTATCTGAGCCAAGGCACAAAGAAGAATCGCGAGAAGTCTGGGAAGCAAATTCTTCGACATTTTCCCTCCGAACTCTTCAATTAATATTGACAGCAAATTAATAGCGCTTCTTAAACGTTCCGGGTGGATAATTATGTTGGACAGATCTACATTCTTGGTCAAGTCAGTCGTCAATCTTCTTATGTCTTTAAACTGATCATCAGTAAAGAAGTTTATTTGGTACTTTTCAAAAGGCTTACAAGCCATTTCTGCAAACAACATCATTTCTTCTTCCTTAACTCCCATCAAAAACCTCACTATTATTTTTCTTCTCGCCAATCCTCCAGCAGCTCCAGCAGCGCGTCCCGTACCTCGAGTCACCATTTTCGCGTAAATGAGTCTCATAAGAATTGGCATGACAATTGTCCGGTCCTCTGGCTTTATAGTTTCAGAAGGTGCGTGATCATCAACGACTTTGAAACGCGCTAATTCGTTCCTGAGATTTTTCTCATCTGTTAATCCGTACAAGTGCTCCTTGTAAGGTAGTAACTCTCGTTGTTTGTAAGTAAAGACACAATCTAAAACTGCTTTTTGCAACTCCATGCTCTTTGATTTTAACAAGTCCATGTAAATGTCGTACATTTCTCGTTCTCGGTACAAAGATCTCGGGTTGTGCATCTGTGAAAACAATTTAAGTTGAGCTAAAAGCAATTTTAAGTTTGATGTCTTGCCACCCATTTTTACTAAGTTCATTTTTTTTATCGGCAAATCTTCTATTTTTCTGTCATCAGTTTTTTCAGAGTCTTCTTTAGTTTCTTCTTCTTCATCCTCAAGATCTTCAAGCTCTTTTACAACTTCATCTCCTGTTTTGTCTAAATCTTTTTTCTCAATGCTAAAAGATTTGTCAGAATTAGATGTAAAGTAATTACTTTCAACAAAATTTATAAACAAAACCGTCAAATCACGGTTTCGCGCTTCAGAGTACTCAGAAAATTTATTCATACACGTCCAGAGTAAAGTTTGGTAATTATTATAGTCAGGTTTATCATTTGTGATCAATGATTTTGATAAATTATTAAGAATTTCACAAGAAAATAACCCGCTGGCACAAGAGCTAAGCGTGCCAAAATTTTTTTGCAATTCTCCAAGAAAAGTTGGCCAAAAATCCGTAAATTCTCCAGTTGCGTACGTAGCAATTATTTGGCTGACTGGTTCCCAGAGCAGTGAAAAATTTACAAAGAAATTTCCAAGCAGGAAATACAATGGTCCATGATAATATCTCGGATGTAATTCAATTAAACTTCTGGATTTGAATGACAGTGCTTGCAAATGAGACAAACGGTCTCGGTAGCTCTGAACAGAGACCTCGATGCTCTCAGCCATGAACATAATCTCCAAGACACTGCTGGAATCATTGCTTTTGTTAATAAAAATCTCTTTGACATCCTTGAAGAGATAGTAAATGTGACAAACAATCAGCCGGACATTTCGGTAAGGCGAAGCAAGCTTTTTTGCTAGATGAGTATTCAAAGAATCAAAAGTTTGAACATTGATATATTTATCCTTAAATTTTGTAGATGAAATATGAGTGTAGAATAAATCAACTGCGTTCAAAATATTTGTATTGTCCCAATACTTGGCAGTTAAAGTTTCAAAATTGATTGTAGATTCTTCCAGGAAGTGATCAATTTCTTCTTCAGTCAACAGATGAACAATAGACTCGAGAGTTAAAAGAAAAGCGAAAGTTCTCTTCTCGATTTTATTTACTGATTCATCTTGAATTAACTTTTCAAACATTGAAACTAAAACTTGCTTTAAAACAGTGACTAATTCTTGTTTCATTAAAATATTTACGTAAGGTAAAATGGTAATTATCCTTAAGGAATCTTCAGAAATATCGTCTGCTTCTTCCCAATTTTTAAGTTTTTCAATTAAAATCGTGAATGTATCAGTAGGATATTTGTGAAGATTTAAATTAATTTCTCTCAATTTGTCAAGATTAATTCCGTTGAGTTTTGGTGGAGCTCTTACCGAAACAATTTTAGTAAACAAGTTCAAATCATTATTAGTAAATTCTTTCGTTAAAACATCCTGCTGAAGAGCTAAGGGAAGCACCCGGGTCTTAAATGATGAATGGTTGACGAGTTTTTCAATAATTTCAATCAAGATTTCTTTTTTGCTGATCGCCAGAAGCTCCGAAATTAATTTAGGGGAAGTTTCTTGTGATAATTGAATATTTTCTGCTAATAATATTGACACAGACAGCTCTATAAATTCATGTAAGACTAAATTACTTTTTTTTTCAAAGATAGAAATTCCTTTGATGATCAGCGAAGTTAGTAACACTGGGTCTAGCAACATCCTTCCACCTCTATGATTCAAAACAATTAATAAAAGCTTCCCCAAAGGTACTAAAACTTTTTCATTTTCGCTCTTCGAGTTCTGATCCAGCCTCTGAAAAATAACATCCCAGAAAACTTTACTGTGAGTTGGATTGATTGAATGATTAACACATTCAAAAATTTTCGACAAAACTCCAAATGCTAGCTCAGAATCAATACTTTCATCTTCAAGAACTTGGAAGTAAATATTAAACATTTTTTCAGCATGAGAATTAAATCTTCCGGGAACTCCTGAGACAACTTCGAATAATAATTTACCGCAACCGTGGACACCACTGGGCTTTTTCTTCAAAGCAGAGAATAAAAGTGTCAAAAAAGAATTTTTATCCTTGTCAGTTATTTTTCTAGCGACGAAAGCAAAACTTTCAGCTGCGAAATTGTTGATGTATACCCGCTTATCAGCTAGAAGAGGAAGTAAAATTTCGAAGGTCGTGTCAATATTTCTTACGAAGTAAACCCACATGAATTTGAACAGGTACGCTAGGTTGATGAATGTGAACTCCAGGACATCAGGGTCTTGAGTATTGAGCAAGTCTATTATGATAACTAGAAAGTCTGGAATAAAGTCGTGAAATTCTCTTTGGAGATCTCGAGCTGCTGCCACAACCATCTCTAATATTGCTTGAAGATAAGCAGGGTCGTTTACTTTTAAATGATATTTTAGCGAGTCTACCACCTTCTGCTTGAACTCTATCAACTGCTTGAGCGTGACTACACCTTTTACTTCCATTCGGAATTTTTTGTAGCCCTCGGTTAAATTTATCATGTTCCATTTTAGTAATGTTCTATAAAACAAAGTCTCAACTTGCTCTTCATCATCAGAATCTTCATTTCTGTGGCGGATACGGTGAAATACATCAACGTTTATTTCCGCAATCCGGTCACCAAATCGTTTAAACTGAAAATATAATTTAATTACAAATTTGTTTTAATATTATTTTATTGAGTGTATAGTAATGTAATTTTATTAAATAAAATTAAAATTATTATTGTATATTAAATTGATAAAATAAATGCTACTATTATTTAAATTTAAAAAAAAAAATTATAAATTGTTGTAGGTCAGTTATAACTTATAACCACTGTCAAAATAAAAGTCAGTATCTTTAAATATAAATAATTATAATTATGTGTAATAATTACCTTAAATGTATTAGTTTCTTTATGACGAACACGTTTCTCCTTCATTTTGACTTTTTATTTAAACTTTTAAAAAGTTAGATAATTATTGAAAAAACTTTAAGGTTAAGTATAAACCTTTCCACATTTAACACAAGTCTTGTATTAATAAAACACACTTTATATTTCTTCTGAATAAAAATATAAAAAACTACACTTAACAATAATTTTACTATTTTTTAATAGTTAAAACTATTAAATATTGATATTTAAAAAAACACATGATATGATCGCACACGTGGTATAATTGTGCCGAATCTAAACGAAATGTGAATGTGTAAATAAAAGTTTCGCTCCGAGACGAAGATTCCCGAGAATTGCCGAGAAGCAATATTTTAAAAGCGCGCGCAGCTGACATTTAATTTCAAATTCCAAATGGGATTTTAAGAAATCCGAAACTTAATAATTAAAAAAAATGTTAGGATAAAATTTTTAATTTATTTATTATCATTATAGAAATTTATAAATGGATCGTTGATTGATTATTATGATTGTCTAGTTTCACAGAAAAAAAAAAAAAACAATAAAAATTTTATCTCAACAAAATGCAAACAGATGTTTTTTTTAAATTATAATTAAAATAAATACACTCTAAAAAAAAATCAATAAAATTAATATTTATACACATACATCCAGAGAATAATTACTTTATATATTTATATAAATGGGTTATTTTATAATTTATAATATACATTGGTATTTTTTCGTTCAACAGCCATAGAAGACTAGGTAGTATGTTTTATACTTTTACAGGAAAATATGTGCATCGTTTTCTTATCTTAAAAAATATAAAGCTATAGAAATGAATATATATTATATTTATAGTATATATATATATATTAAATATATTTTTTAGAAAAATTTGTGTAATAGTTTACCATATCAAATTAAATATAATACTCAGTTTAATTTCATGTTTTAATTTTCGAGTTATTTTTAATAAATCCATTTCGGGATTTTCCATTATTATTAATTCTAATATTATGATCATAATTATTTTTATTATTAATTCTCCGATGTTCGAACAAAACATCATCAGACTCGGTATCAGATTCCGAAATGGCCATTTTGCGTTGCAGAAACGCTCCGCCGCTGTCGTCATCATCCGCAAGATGCGGCTGAAGAAGAGAGTACCTTGTAGACTTTTTCTTGAACCTCGTGCGACTTTTACCAGCACAAATCCTCTGACAGAGACAGATGAAACTCCAGATAAAACCAATGAAAATAATCACCAGCGCCAGCAAAGCAATAATAACATACAAAATACTCCACTCGCAATTAGACTCTCCGTTTCCGAAGTACTTTTGTATCAAGTTTTGCATCCAGAAAGCTTCACATAAGCACTGGCGTGACTCTTCATCACAAACTCCATGACCCGAGCAATTATTTTGACAAATAACAGTGTCAACCTCCGTAACCGAGAGTTGTAAAAGTCCCGAGTCTTGTTTGAACTTTTTTTTCAGTCTATCCACAACTTCTCGCCCGGTCATTGAAGATTTTTTGTCCTTGCGCTCGACGTAAAATATCAAACAAGCGCGACCAGTTCTAGGTTCAGGCTTCAAGTCTCTTACAACAATCGAGACTTCTTCCCGCAGTAGCATTTGTAATTTTACTACTAAAGAATTCTTCTGAGACTCTGTCAATAAATGCGCTCCAATATTCAATGTCAATTCAACAAGATACAACAGCTGGGGATCAGATTTAACAATAACTGACACAGTATCTTCACTGCTCAAGCCCTGATCATCCGAAACTTTTAATTTGAACACATATCTTCCGGGAACAACATCAGTTACCATCAAAACCGGCGAGTGATTAGTATCGTCGATTATTTTACCAATAGCCAAGCTGGTCGGGTCTCTTGTCCAAAGCCACTGGCTAATTTTCAAGTCATCCGTCGACTGAGATCCATTAATAATCAGCGCACTAACAGGAGCCATTACAATTTGATCTCCTCCGGCATTAGCTTTAGGCGGAGCATTTTTATTCTGCGTCACCTCAACTTTTACAGTATCTGAATCTTTGTTACCATTGTCATCAATGACAGTCAATTTAAAATTATAAACTCCCTTGGTTAATTTAGTAGCATTAGTAACTGACTTATTCGCCGCGGAAAATTCGGCTTTGTTCGGACCGGACAACTGTTCCCAATGATAAGAAACAATTTTAATATCATCCTTGCTATTGCTACCATCAAGCTTAACTCTAGTCTGCGGTAGCGCTACAGTGATGTCTTTACCCGCCTCAGCTTTAGGCGGTCTATTAGTCGGAGGTTTAACAAACACATGAACTTCCGCGGTGGAGTATTGATCGGAGTCATCTGTTACTTTCAAAACAAACGTATACATCCCTTCCTCCAAATTAGACAACTGCAAATACGGCGTCCGAGTGTTTTGCATATCAACAGCTTTATTCTGATCTGAAGGACTCTTGGTCCATTCCCAGCTGGCAATACCGTGATCGTCAGTACTCAGATTTCCGTTCAACGTAATCGTATTCTGTGGTAAGTAAATAATTATATCCTGCCCGGCGTTTGCGCTCGGCGGATAGTCGATTAATTTAAGCACCGTTATATTCGCGGTTGTAAAATTAGTAACATGATCCGAGTCCTCTACAGTCAGCTTGAATGTGTAATTCCCCGCGATAAGATTGTCCAACTGAAGTGTTGGAGTATCCACAAGATTCGGCTGATAGCCAATGGGGCCTTGCTGTAGCTCCCAGTGATAAGAAACGACGCGGTCGTCGTCAGTACTTGAAGATCCATCCAGCACGGCGCCAGTGTTGGGCAATTTAACGATCTGAGACGCCGGAGAGATGATCGCTATCGGCGGCTTGTTTATTCGCTTCGGTGGCAAGACACTGACATTAGCATAAGCTTCTCCATAAGCGTTTGAGCTGGTTACCACCACTCTAAACTTGTACAAGCCCTCGGATAAATTACTCAGCTTTACTGTGGGGAGATTTTGATCAGTCATTGTCCCCGTGTGTCCTTCCGGCTGGCTCAGCAAGCTCCAAGCGTAGTTATAGTGCTCGTTGCCCTGCTCCGCCGGGACGGTGAACGCCGACAAAGTTACCTGATTATCAGGCAAGCGGAGTTCTTTGGACACCGCAGATACCACCAGCTGCTTCTTGACCACCGGCTTAGTTTCCATACTCTGGGAATTTTTAATATTAGACTTTACCTCCTCCATCTCAAACTCCGGCTGTATGTCCTCGCAAACTCCAATCGCGGTTTTATCGTCGTCAGAAGAAGTGCGTTTGACACACACTTGGTTATCTTGGCAATTATTGTTATCCATACAACTGATACCTGGCAGTTGTATGTTGCTTTCGCGATTAGATACCGCGTCAATTAAAAGCGGATTTGTGTCGTAGAATTGTCCCAGCACGTCGTTCCACGTAACGTCGTTTTCTACTGGCTTGATCAGCACCATACTTGGTGGGTCCACCAAATTAACAAACTCGGGCCGATACAAAGGCGCACACTTGTCCGATTGCTTGCACTTTACATGATAACACGTAGAGTTAAACATCAGCACCACGTTGCAGCTCGATGTTGTGCAGCATGATAGAGCACATTGTTTTATTCCTGTGATATGAGGTATCCTTGTGTAATTACCGTAAGTCATATTGCCTCTTGGTGTGTAACTTTTGAATGTATGTGGGTATAAATCCGGGCACATTGTCTGCCATTTGTTTGTCCAATAATCCGTAGTGTATCCATTGCAAATGTTGAATAAAATAATCAAAAATAAAAACCATTCGATATTAAATATCATTTTAAAGTCTGAAACAAATGACAGTATTTTAATAAATTTATTATATCTTTTTAAATAAATTTAAGATTGATAAGTAAGCGATTTAAATAATGTTTTATTAAACTTACCGTAAATTTATATGAAAGAATTTTAAAAATCTATTTTGGTATAAAGTTTCAATAGTTTGTCGAGCATCAACTGATAAGATGCTACTGGCAGCATGTGCCACTTGCTGCAAATGTCTTTTTAATTTCTAGCTACTTTCAGATAGTATGTATATATATTGATGTATGATGTATGATTTATTTATATATTTATTTGTTTCTTTTTAGCTTTTTATTCACTGGTACGATATTGAACTGTGACTAAGTCTTTGCAAATGTGTCGCTCGAAGAAATAAAGCTGCTTAACATATAAATTAACCAGTGAGATATCGTTATCACAAAGTAACAGACATATACGGGTAATTACCATACTTCCTGGAGTCAAGCGGAATATGCCAGACCGCTGGAATAAAATCGTTTGTATCGATAAGCCTCCAACTGATACGTCGCTATCAAATCAAATAATTATTTTTTATTCTTATTCTCAATATTAATTAGTTGTAATTTAAAATTATCATCTTTGTCGTCGTCATCATCATTAGCATCGTTATAAACATCTAGCTCATGGTATATTTATTTTTTGCAAATAATAACTCAATTGCGTAATTAGCACGTGTATTTTAGACAGCTGTCATTGATAAGCTGTCAACATAGAACAAAGGAGAGTTATTTATTCGTTTCACATTTTACACTACTTAACTTTCATACACTCGAGGTAAAGACATTGTTTAAAAATTATAATTAATAATTAAATAATTATTTCTTTTTTTTTAATCAATAGTACATTTTTTTACGTGTTATACTCATATCTAATGTGTACATACACAATAATTCATTAGTAGACTTCCTTTCTTTTCATTAGAAAATGGGTTAATATTTCTTCCTTTCGCCGTAAGGTGGCAGCACCTCTTTTGTTGGTATACCAGTCAGTGTTTTAATAATATTTATTATTAAAACAAATAATTACAACACCTTTACATTTATTGTTACGAACATTAAAACAATTACTTACTTTTTTATATTCTATTCATTAGAAACTTTTGGAATTTATTTTATTACTAAATAAATAATTATAATTGCAAATCAGAATTCCGCTGACGATGAAATAGCATTTTTTAAGTGAAAAAAAAAAACAATTGAGTGTAATCATGGCATCAGAGTGGTTTGAAAGAAAAATACGCTATTTAAGTGACATTACTAATGAAAGTGAGCTGAAAGATGAGTTGGAAGCGATTGAAATAAAATTAAAAAGTTTAACATCATTGGAATTGAAGACTGTTGCTACTAATTTGGATTATTCCCGGCTTTTTTGTCAGCTAACCTCCAATCATGAAAGGTAATATTTATTTCTCGTTACTCAATTGTCATTGTCATTGTAATAATACTAAAGTTAGCAGACGTTTCTAATTTTTTTTCCTTTATTAAATTGGAAAAAAATATTTTTTAAAAATTGCACTTAAGTATAGTTTTTCAAGTTTTTTACAAATGAAATTTTTTTTTCTTTTTTTTTTTTTCAATAAAAAAAATTATAAGAATTTTTAAAAGTCGGTTAACTTAATGAAAATTAATTTAGCTTATATTTAATAATTTTAAAAATTTTATAGCAAATAAAAATTGACATGTAGAAATTTTAAAAATTAAAAAATGCAATTTTTTAAAAATAATTTTTTGGAACAAATTTTTTTGATAAATAAAATTAAAAAATTGTTAAGTGACTGCTAACTTGAATGTCATGCAAACTTATTTTTCATTTATCATTACTAAAATTTTATTAACTTTAATTTTATTAATAATTTCAGCAGAGAGATTGTTGAACGAGTATGCAATATCTGTATGACATTATTCAGCGTGTTGGAACCTGGTGAAATTTTCCAGCGTCATCCAGCAGATTTAATGGAGCATTTGTCTCACCAGGAGTCATGTGTCAAAAGCCTGATTTTAAGCGAACTGAAGAAAGTAGCTGCGTCAAAGTCATCTCAATTAATTGCAGACATAAATTTATTGAATACTATTGTCCAGCGGATTGGGGACCAGGATATCGGAGTTGCTAAGCAGGCAATGGATGTCATAAAAAAGGTCGGTGGTGACCTAGCAGGAGCTAAAGCGCTTTACAGCGGGATTTTACTGCGTACTATCGCTAAGTTGGTTTCAAGAAACGACGAGATAAGCTTCAGAGTTTATGAAGTAATTGTTGACATTGCAAAATCTTCGAAAGAATGCCTTGAAGCTTCAGTGAGCTCCGGCTTACTTGATAGTCTAATTAATATCCTAGCGAATGACGACGTTCTGCTGCAGCTTAATGCTCTCGAGGCTCTGACAGACCTCGCGACGTACGACCAGGGTCTGAATTATCTTGAGCAGCGAGAAATATTGAACGATCTGAATAAAAAGATCTCAAACCCGGACGAGAACGCGCTCTCGAACCTCTTGATCCCCGGGCTAATGAAGTTCTTTGGCAGCGTGGCTAAAAATCGACCCGACGAAATATTCACTAAGTATCCGAATGTCGTTTATTCTCTGTTCGAGTTAATCGAAACGACTGATGATAATATTTTACTGATAAACGCCTTGGATACTTTGGGCTACGTCGCGTCGACAATTGACGGTAAATATGCGCTGCAAAATTTAGGAAAGCCAATGGAGCTGGCAATGAATAAAATCGCTGTAATTATTAATAAAATGCCCACGGAAGTTCGGCTCCGTGCGTTAGATAATTTATCTCTGATCTTGCACGTCGAACCGTCGAAGCAAAATAATCGCATAAGCTCGTTAATAAAATCGTGGTTTGGTTTTCTTGGTGATGATCCAATGAAAATAATTGTCGAGTTGTGTAAGCAACCGTTTCCTGACATTAAACAAGCTAGTTTGAAAGTACTACTCGAAATAGCGTCTCATCCGTGGGGCCAGCAGTACATTGCTTCTTACCCGGGTCTTACAGAATTTTTATTAAATAGAAATTCCGAAGCTTTTAAAGAGTGTAAAGAATTGAAATTTGATATTGTTAAATGTCTTGTTGGTTTTGATGGGTTTGACAATGCGACAATGCAAAAAGTACAAAGTTTTATTACCGAAGGTCCGTTCTTTGTTGACGTTGAAATGGAGGTTGCTGTCGACGGTTCATAATCTTAATTATTTTTAGCTTATTTAAGGCACCGGATTATTAAAAATAATTCATATAGTGGTTTATTTGTTTATTTTCTTTCATTAAAATATAATTATTATTATTATTATTACTTATTACACATTATAAATAAATCACATTGTAAAAAAAAAAAAAAAAAAAAAAAAACATTTATGTATCAAAATAATTTATTTATATACCTAAAATTAAATGAACTACGAGTAGTTGTAGCAAATGCTTCTGAGTGATTAAAAAAAAAAAAAATGTTTACGTCTATTATTATATTTATATAATTATAATTTAAGTATTGTCATTTAATGTATAATTTTTATTTTTTTTTAATTATTAGAAAATTCTTTTCTTTTTCTTGGGTGAGAGAATTTTGAGCATACTGACAACTGGAGCTTCAAAACATAATGAAACTACAAACGAAATCAGATAAGACAGTATTAATTGTCCGATAAATACTATCACCTGAAAGTAAAAATTTTTTTTTTAATTAAATAAATTACTTGAAATTATTTTATTTAAGATTTTTCAGACAATTATAATTATACTTACAACTGTATCTTTGCCAAGGTGGAATGGCAAATCTAAATGCATCGCAGATACTCGAATAATTATTGGATGAACTAAGTACGCGCAGTAAGTAACTCTGCTAAATGGATATAGAATAGGGGCTGATAAAATTTCATTAACCCATCCTGAAACAATCAAATTAATTAAATATCTCGATGAAATATTATCGTAATTTTTTTTTTTTTTAATAATTACCACCATATCCGGTACTACAGGCGATAATGATCCAAGATAAGCCGAGCGCCCAAGCACTGTGACTTAATGAGGAATAAGCAGCCGCTGTAACTGGTGTCAGTTCAGCTTCGTACAGGCCGTAGATCAAACTTAAAAGACAAGCTATTGAAAGGAGCCAACCTACGACTACCGTAGCCTAAAATAAATTTATTTACTGATGTAATAATATTTTATGATTTTTTTCTATGAATCTGATTGACCAATTTTTACCTTGGACATCTTGATTTTACAATCAGTCTTGAAAAGAATGTATCCAACGGACATTCCGATTAAATATGGGCCCATTCGAGTCCAAGGTTTGTCGTAAATTTTATCGAAGAGCGCCAACGGGTCATCTATACTTGGCATATGGTTATTAATAAGTGCAATGTATCCCGTAGTCAGCCATGAACTTACAAGTAACGCAACGACAAATACAGTTGCGACTTTTATGTGATTGGTTGCAATTACTAAGATTACTGCTCCAATTACGTAAAATTGAGTATCATCTGCTACGTACCAACTCCATAGCATACACTAAAAATAGATGTTATTTATAGATTAATTCACAAGCATTAAATCAAAAAAAAAAAAAAAAAATACTTTTTGATAAAACTAAATTTTTCTCCAAGTTTATCAATGATAAATTGTCTTAAAAATTTTACATTTAAAAAACTTAATTAATTTTGAATTAATTATTCAAATATAGTCTCAAAAAGTATTTCCTTTCTTTATTATATAACTTAAAAAAAAAAAAAAATAATAATAACCATTTGATCAACAGGAAAAAGCGTATTGATATAGAGTAAATTTCTCCACCAATAGTTAGGACAATTTTCATGGTCATTAGTCGGTGGCTCAAATACAGAATTAGCATGAAACCACTTCATGGTAACTTGCACAACGCCCAAAATAAACATGTAAGGTGTTGTAAGCCGACTAAAGCGGTAGAGCAATAGACCAATAAACTTCAATAGCCCAGCAACGAATCCATGGGTTCCTTGCGTTAATTTATTGAGATCGCCCATCGCGTTGGTACGAAAAAACAGATAAGCCACGAGTAAACCACCCATGAAGAAGAAAGTGTCTACGCTAAATGCACCGCTGGTTATCGTTTGAAAGAGAAAATTTTTTTCAACAACTTTACGGTACTCCATATTATCTGAGTACTTGAATATAACGATGCACGTGTGTCCTAAGATAACCCAAGCCATGGAGATGGCTCTCAAACCGTGAATAGTGCTGATGGTATCTCTTCCGACAGAGGAATCGCAAATTGTTTTCATGTTTTCTCTTACGGAAAATGAAAGTAAAAGCTCCTTTATCACGCTTAACTCTTCATCATTAGCAGATGAAACTGATGACGGGGTATTATTTAGCGGATTATGATTCTTCATTTTATTTTTTCTCTCCACAGTTTCTTCTTCATCATCAATGTCATTATTGTTATTATTATCGTTGCTACTGCAGCTATTAGTCGATGTGGTCGTCGCTGAATCCAAACCATCTGTAGTAATAATATTAATTACTAAATAAATATACATTTATAAATATTTGTATAATTTAAATTTAAATATCATTTAGTATTGAAATAACCGTTTGATAATTCCTGATGTAATTTTATACTGTGTCTCAGCTGAACATGTTTCTCAAGATCGTAAATGGTAGTTTCCTGTTGTCTTGTCGCGGTAAATGTGATGTAATAATCCAATATTGTACCAATAATCATCAGTATAATCACAATCACACTACTTCCTCTAAAAAGTATGAAAAATATTTTTATTTATTAATTTTTACTTCTATTTTTTGTTTACTTTTTTTTTTGGTTCAGAAGCTATTTAATAATTTAATAATTATTAATTATAAACTAAATAATTTTTAATAGTTTATAATTTATAATTAATAATTATAAACTATTTAATAATTTTTTTATTTTTTTAACAAACAAAATTTGTTCTAAAAAATTATTTTTAAAAAATAATTTTTAATTTTTAATTTTTCAAAATTTCTACATCTGAATTTTTTTTTCTAATTTCTTTTGCTACAATTTACTTGTTAAAAAAAATTTTTAAATTAATAAAAGTCTGCTAAATTAATTTCCATAAAATTAACATGAGACTAATTAGCCCCCTTAAATAAAATTAATATTTTAATAAATATTTACTAACACAAGAGTCCAAAAAACGTTATCTGAGTAAATATCATATTGATTGTGTTGATCACGAACTTTTTCAATAGCAAAATGTTTCTTAGCATCTTCATTAGCCGCTAATCTAGCGATTATAAAAATGTCTTCAGCGGTGCAAGAAAAAGGAAGACAAACACCTAGTTGAATAGATCTAGACTGAATAAAAAGATATATATTAATTACAAATAATTAATTAATGATGATAAAAATAATTAAATACTCACGACTGGGGTTATAATGGTGTTATTTACTAGAATAGTAAGTGTAAAAAATCCAAGTTTATAAGGCGGATGGTCGGGAAGAGAGTTTGAAAATAATTGACTTCCAGAAAATCCAACGTTTTTTTTCTTTGGTTCTGATGAGTGACTCCCCGATGTCGCAAACTTATCATTTGCTTTGGTGTAATTATAACCGATGTAAGTACATTCGGTAGCTGATCCAATGAAGTACGAGTTTCCCCAGAAGAAACCGTTGGTGAATCTTCCAGAAGCATCGTCCGCTGTAAAAGATTTAATATTAAGTATCAGGTATGCTAATCATATATTCTTCTTTATTTATTTGTTTATATAATTATTTAAAATACTTATTAATTAATTAATTAATGCCCGTGGCATTAATTTTATAAATCGAAAATTCGGTTGAGTAATAAAATATTTAAAAAGTAAATTAAACTTTTAAAAAGTTTTTGTGAATCGATTGTGTAATAAAAAGTAATCAACAAATAAATAAAAATTGAGAAAACGGGTTTTTCTTTGCCAATTGAATCGATTGCATTGCTCAGTACTACTTGTTTACGTTCACTACCAAGGCTTTTTCAGAAGTTCACGGGCCAATTACTATTTACCCGTTAAAAAATAACTTTTAAAATATTTAATAGTTTTATTTTTATTGCCAATATAAACTTCCTCGTCCCAAATAGCTTTGAAAAAGATTATCGTGACCTAAAAGAAGAAATAGTATTAAATAATAAAATAATAAAAGTGAGTATTATGTTAATTAATAGTCTTAATAAAAAAATCAAGGACAAAGCGTAATATATAACAATGTCTTGCATAAATTAGCCAACTATTGAGATAACACATATTTCATCATTCTGTAACATATTAAAACTTTCTCCAGGCTTACGTATATTACGAGATACCGAGAAAATAGAGTACGAAGAAATTACCACAACTCAAGGCACATATAATCAACTAAATGAATCAGGCATGCAGATAATACCAGCAAAAAGTTGAGTACGCTAAAAAATATAAACGTCATACCGCATCCAAGTATAGTCTACCGGTCATAAATATTTTAATTATACTCATTTAACCTTTTTTATCATCACAATTGCAATAAATTGATATCTATATTTTACTTAGCTTTCTATTGTTGCATTACTGTAATTTTTCAATGCATGTCAATAACCAACAAGACATAGACATATATCTAAATAATAAGAATAATACTAATAGTAATGATGAGTTATGAGTTATGATCAACATAAAAAGTAGGATTAACTAAAAAATACGGAAAATGCCAACTTTCTCGCACATCATTACTCATAAATTGTCAACAAAATATTACTTGATGAGTACAATAAGTGCATTAATAACTTTTACTTGATGACTTTAATAAAAAGTCATGATTAACAATTTTTATTACTTATTTATTATTATTATTATTCAACATTTGTTTGATAAAATTCTTTTTCTTCTTTGTCATTTTAAAAAAATTTTTATCATTTCTTCTTATTAAAATTTTGTTTATTACAGATAACCATCAGTTAGTGGTGACTTGCAAGTAAAAGAATTCAGCGGTGACTTATTGTTACTTTATTATTATTATTTAAAAAGTGAGATAACTAATTGCTGGGTAGAGTTACATTTATAAAAGGAGTTTGAAGTTAAATAAAGATACTTAATACATAATTAGATATTTTCTTACATCAGATAAGACGTAATAGTAATAACTAGGTAAATATTATATTTGAAATATAGCGCGAATAAATTAAGTTAATAAAAAAAAGATATTTCCGTGAAAGTTCTTAACATTTTTTTTTACAATTGATGATTCTTCGGCGCGTAACGACCGACTCACGTAATAATGCCACAATATAGCCTATTTGTTTAGTATATATCTCTAGATATCGAAAATTATTATGCAATTTTAATAATTGCGGCAATTTTAAAGGAGCCGTACCCGTGATTGTAGCTGCGAGTTGTATAGTTGTATAGTTGTATAGTTGTAGGGGTATCGGATCAGTTTAAACTTTCTATACATAACAACATTATACATGTAATGTACTGAAAGTAACAAAGAAAGAATCTCTGGGTTTTTTTTTCATTAATCGCGTGATACTTAGCTACGGAAAAAATCGAGAAGTGAAATTCTCCGTACGTCACAGCATCTCTTTAATAAAATTCCATCTCTCAAACAAGATATTATTGCTTAATACACTCTCTTCTTCGATTTCTTTATATGTATCTTTCTCGTATCCCATTAACTTGTTCTTGTTCTTGGGATACTCGTTACCTTAAACTCTAAATTACAGTTTCGATTTCTTTGCTCCATTGACCTCAATAAAACTAATAGACTTCTCGATAACATAAACTTTTTTTTACTCCTAAGATTAACTCACTTTTATATTTCTTCCCTTCTTTGTTACATCTTCGCTTACACGTGACTTTCGATGGTCAGTTTCAAGGTCTTTTTATTTACTTCTTCCCGTAAAAATATAATACCCAAAGAATTTAAACTTACAATTATAATAAAAAAAAAGCTTTTATTTCTTCTTTTTTTTTTTTAAAAAAAAAAAAAAAAAAAAATTGTCTTGAGATAAAAAATATCCAAAAAATTGCTATCTTTTACCATCATAATCATAAAAAATTATCATATAAAAAATTACAGTTATAATTTATGAATATATCTGCACACGATGTTAAAAGAATGAGCTTGCCCGCTAAAAGTGAAACCTTAAAATGAAAGTAGGTAAACGAAGACGGGCCCACTGGACAACTGGGTGTCCCCTTTTTTCTTTCTATTATAATTGAATTAATATTACTTTATGTTTGCATATTTGTGTCTATAAATAGTTTCTCTTTCTCCTATTAGCTATGAGCCAGCTGATAAAACAATTTTAGACTGTTTTTTTTTTACAAATATTTCGTAACTCCGATGACATTTGGTAGACGCAGAATCATTTAACTATGGACCATGACGGGAGTAAGTTCTTGATCGGGTAGAGCAACCTATACGTATTATAGCATCACTTCCTACCGCGATTCTATCATCGGTGAAAGCGTGCTTATAATCTTTTCAGGCTCAACTGGTTGTCGCCGCTTAATTACCAATAATCCCGCGTAAATATCTTCAAGTTAAATAATCAGCGGCTAGTTATTAATTTTAAAAGTCTTGTCTAATATAATAGCTTTAAAAATGTTTATTGTAATTAATAATAATTAAAATTTTATACCTTTAAGAGCCCACGGCTCTTGATTCCTGAGCCCTTTGACAAATCGCGTAATATCCTTAGCACATTGTGGATTCACAGGGTATTCATTTTCTTTCCAATTTTTAACAAGTGTCTTCGTATTGTAAAAATCCAAATTTTCAGCCAAAGTATGCCAGTTCATATTATCATCTTCATTATCGTCATTACTATCATTATTTGATTCAGAATCCACTTCCGATGAGTCAGATCGGTACTTTGAACTAGCTATTCTAAATGTATGCACTTCAGGTACAACAACAGTCTCCGCTGTACTTAAACTGTCATCAGCAAAGATTTTAATTGCTGATAATATCAAAATAAACCACGTTAAATTATTCATTTTTTTTATTAAATATTATTCCACAAAAAGTAAATAAAACTAGAATTTCTTTTATAATAAATAAAAATTAAATTAATTATTTAAGCATATTTGATTCACTCCGTAAATATTTTGCACTTGTCACTTTTTTGAGCTTTTATATTAATTTTATTGAAGATTTTTTAATTTATTTTTAGGAATAAAATTAGGTGAAATTTTTAAACAATTTCCAATGATATTTAAAGTTATTCATTTTTAAATAAATATTTTTAGTTGAATATTAGTCAGGGTACACGTGAGTGATCGTGGATGTTTGATGGCTATCGACAAAGTAAAACGGCGAGTGTATAGAAATGAGCCAGGTGGAGAAATGAAATGTTTTTAGTGGTCCTACTCTCACACCGTCAACGACTTGGGACGAGGTAGAGTTGGAGTTCCTTTTACCATACCTTCTGTCGAACGCTTTTATATTTTTATTATGTGGTAGGGATAAAAAGAATAAGTGCCGGTGATTCTTGTATTATTGTGAATACAACCGTTAATAAATTTTAATCGTTATCATAAATAATATTGTTCTTCTAAAAAATTTACTAGGTACCAATCCTGATATTCATCAGGAAGAGAATTGCGAAAACCCGAAAAAAAAAAAAAAAAAAATTAATTAATAATGACTAATAACAATAACCATTAAATTTATCACTAAGCTTCATATGTTCTTACCTTTGACATCGTAATTGTTTGTCCCATTAGTTTTACAAGCCTAAGGAAACATTTGTGTGACATAAGAGTCTTAGATAAGATTCGACCAGAGCTTGAGCTTGTAGACAATTATTGTCTTTGTTAAAAATTTTAAACCAAGAAACCTGAAAGAAAATAAGTAAAAAATGACAACTATATTTATGAATATTTGATGAAAAATAAAATAAAATATGTAAGTAAAAGTGCAAGTTAATGTCTTGAATTTTAATGTAACATTTAAAATAAGATTACTCTTATTTTCTATACTTACAATCAGCTCTCGTGAAAGATGTAATGAACTTTCACTGTGCAGAATTATTGCTTGTGTCAACAGTGAATGAATGAGGTAAAATGCAATAGTCAGTCTTAATAATGAGTACTGGTACTTGCAGATTAGTTAAATTACGTCAAATCCTGTATTAAACGTCAAAATTAATTTTTCAAATAAAAATTCATTGGTAAATTTATAAAATATATTTAACGTAGCTTACTCTTGAAGCCGCATGTCGATTAATGCGTAATAACCGGAGTTTGAAAAATAAAACTGGTACATCGATGAAGAACTTGGGTTCGTTTATTTCCGGCGTAAAAGCCCGTAGATATAATACTCTGTAAGTTGTAATTAATAATACTCAACTAATCAAGGTAATTGTCTTCTATAATTGTTATATGGAGTTGGAAATTTTTAATTAATTATTATGTAATTATGATTGAAATAAATTATAAAAATTTAACAAGTAATAAAATTAATTATGAATATTTTTAACCTGAATTAATTTTTATTTACAGCAAGTTTGATGTAAAAATCATTCCGCAACTGATGAGATAAGGACTCACTCTTGTCCAAAACTTGTTGTGAAGATGATCTCGCAAGAATTCTGAAAATAAGTGACAATTATTATTTTATCGCTACGTACTTTACTTTTATTCATGCTCAGCGTAATAATAGCCAGTTGTAAGTTATAATCGTTGTAGCAAATCAGGATAAAATAATAATATAACAAAGATAGCGACCACTGCTTGGTTAAATAACCGAATGAATAAAATACTTTGTTAAACAAACGGTAATTAATATATATTATTCAATTTGTAATTACTTTACTTTGATTTTAGATTGTTAAATTAATGATCCGAAATGTTTAAAATTGTGTATCATTCGTTAAACGCTGTGCGGTAAAATAAAATGAAATAAAATGAAATGAATGCGAAAATATTTAAATATTTAATAATATTAAAAACTGGTCAAAAGGAGAATTTGAAATATTTTTAAATTGCTATGACTCATGCCGATAAATTTTATTTCTGGTTACATAATTGAATAATATATAACAGGACTTGTCTAGCTTATAATAAAACCTATAAAAATCCATACCTAAGTTATTAACTTAGTTGTGTAATTTTTGGAAAAAAATATTTTGCAATGCATGAATCACGATCATCAAAATGATGACACTTGACGACATTGTTAAGAAGACTATTAATTATTTAAAAAAATTTTATGCAGCTTTTTAGCAAACAAACTAATATAAATTATGAATTTAATAGTACTTGATAATTAACGTTCATTAATAAAATAAAAAAAATTACAATTGTATATTAGTTTTTGGAAATTTCATCAATTTAGACGGAATTCATTTCAATATTTATCAATAAAAATAATTTTATTGAGAAGAAACTTATGTAAAGTGGCGATAACAGCGTTAGTAACATAAAATAATGTGTAGCAGAGTCAACAAAAATTTATGATTCCAGTTACTGTCCATCCCATATCCTAATATAAAATTGAGATGAAATGGGCTCGTTCAGATTTACTAAGTTATGCTAAGATCTTGGCATATCCTATAGAATAAAATGGCTGACAACTGAATAAAGCTGAAAGTGTCTTAGAAATAAATATAGATAATTTTTTCATGGACAGGCTAACTTTTCCTGACTAAAAGACACAAAGTATACATTAAATAAATTTTATTTTTGTATTTATAACCTTGTTTACAAAAAATTAAGTGTTTAAATTTTTCGTCGGGATTATTAATAATTAAATTTTATTTATAAAAAATATAATTAACCTTCGTGTTTTCAAAAAATGGATAATATTTTAGAACATTTAATAGCTGATAAAATTTTATTCGACCAAGTAGAGCAAAATCTCCGAAATGGATTTCAGCAATTTTTTGCTAATTTTAAAAAAATTTTTACACATTTAATTTTTTAGAATTTTAACTTATTTTTCTTTTCAGGATTAGTTAATGGTGAGATAATGGATGATTTTATTTTATTAGATGATGATTTGAATGGAGATCCCGAATTAGATGTACGTGGTGATGCTCCAGCTAGAATCCTAAATTTTTATGAAGAAGTGATTCCACAGTATGATGATGAGCAGTTTAAGTCTTATTTTCGGATGTCGCGAGAAGTTTTTGAGTTTCGGATGTCGCGAGAAGTTTTCCAAGTTAGTAAGCTAAATAAATGCTTAGAACAGTATCGGATTCCTATAGTAGATTTTTGATAATAGTCTGGCATAAATTCAATATTATTGATCACTGTAGATAGCAAATGCATTCGATCCAACAAGGTTTCTGCAGAGAAATTTTATTTTTTATTAAATACGCCTTTTATATATAATTTTAAGTATAAAAATATATTAAATAAATATACCTGCGGCCTCAGCAGTATCGGTAATGAAATGAACATGAAGATGAAAAGTAGAGGGTAAATAAACAAAACATATTCTTAATTTTTCAGCTAATACATCTGGATACTTTTTAGTAATAATTTCAGTGCCTTCTTTTTTAATTTTTTTCAGTAAGGGAAGATGAGTTTCATTCAACTCTCGAATTGTCATCAGTTTCTGTTTGGTAAAGGCAAGAATATGCATCTCTGAAATTTCTTCAGTTCGCCATTTTGAATCTTTTACTAATACATATCCTGTTGATTCATCTTTATCAATATGGAGGGTCTGTTCTTGTTCACTTTCACCATTTAATATACGGTAGACCCACTAGAAAAAAAAAATTTTGTAAAAATATTGTTAAAAAGTAGTCAAATATCTAAGGTAATAAAAAAGTTTACAAACATCATGGTTATATTTTGATACTAAATTCTTCATATAAGGTAAAGTGATGTTCTCATAAAGTTCTGGAGTTTCTTCAATGAACCAACATTCAGCTATTTGATACTGAGCAAAGTCTCTTGTTGTAACAGGACGCTTTACAGTTGCATGTACACCTTTAAATTAAATTTAAATTGATAATTTTTAATCTGAACAATAAGATTTATAATTTGACAAAATAAAGAATTCAGAAAAATAATAAAAATTGAATTACCGTTAGTTTCGTTAGTCAGAGTTAATTCATAATGTCTTTCATTTTCATTGTAACCTTTATTTGTAATAATCGTTTCTTTATTAAAAATTATTTCTTTCAATTCCGAAATATCGTCGGAGAAACTTTTTCTTGACAGAACAATTATGGCGTTGCGACCATTTAATCGACCTTTAATTGCTATTTTTTTCTGGTGAACATCATTTTCCAGAACTTTATGAAGTTGAAAACTTGTCATATTTTTAATAGAATCGTTTTCCATTTTTTATTCCTTTCTTTTAAATTTTTTATCAAAAAATAATTGAGACACTTGTTGATATTAAAAAATAAAAACAACAATAATTATTAATAATAACACAATGAATAATTCACCAGATTATTGAAAACTATCTTAGTTAATTAAAAAAAAAAAACTGAATACATCATAAAACTCTATGATAAAATGATTTAGTATTAATCACTGCTAAAGAGATGACTCTTTCTTTGTTAACTATAATATTTTCTTCTTGAAGCTGGCGTATATTTATTTTTTAGACGCTTATAAGATTTAACGTGCGCGCACAAGTGCGCGCCTGATTGTAGTATAGAATTGTATATATTTTCATGTTTGTGATATACATTTGATCAAAGGTTGGTCGACCAATCACATTACGAATTAAATGGCTTCAAATACGTAAAATCATACAAAAACTGCGTGTGTAAACAACCATTTCGGCACAAGCTTAAAACTCACATAGATCATTGTATTAAAATTAAAAAATGTCAATTAATGTAGAGAATTGTATGAGTTGTATGACTAACTCAATAATACTTTATTTATTTTTTCGACTGAGGTAACTTGATATTCAAAGAATGCAATGTTATTGTTTTAGTCATAACCGACGAAGATATTTCTTATCTCCAACGATAGAACCATAGCTTACTATTTAACAACACTTGTAATATGATTCTTAGGCCTCAGAGACGTTTCTGCGAACTGATTTATCTCAAATAAATAGTAAGGGTCTGGAAAAATGCGTGACTAATATCGTCTTATTTGTAATTTTATTATGCAATCGTCTATTAATATCATTTCTTAAAAAAAAAATACATTTTTTTCTTAAAAATAATTTCGTTTCGTCAAAATTTTATTCTAAAAAAAATTTTTCAAGGTCAAACTTGATGTAAACTCTATAGTCAGTATAAGTAAAATAGTCATACAAATTCAATCAGACAATTTCAGACGTTTCGTCGGTCTGTCGTCTTCTTCGGTGCTTTCTTTTTCGCTAGCTTTTTCATTTTTAAGGTAGCCTTCATAAGGTTTATATGCTTCATATTTGCAAATCCTAAATGTCAGTGTAGCTTTTTGATAATAATCTGGCATCATTTCAATGTTATTTATCACTGTGGAAAGTAAATGCGCGCGTTCGACCAGCGTACCTAATAAAAAATTTTTTATCAATTTCATTCTTTCTAATTTATGAATTTTTCTTTATAAGTATAAGTTACAAATTAACATACCTGCATTCTCAACAGTAAGAGCAGTAAAATGAACATGCAAGTGGTAGTAAGATGGCTGATAATGGAAATATGTTCTTAATCTATTAGCCGGTATATTATACTTTTCTTCAATAGCTCTTGAACCAGCTTCTTTGATATTTTTCAACAAAGGAAGATGAGATTCATTCAACTCCCTAATTGATGCAATTTTCAACCTAGTAATAGCAATTAAATACAAATTTGATATGTCGTCTTTCCACTTCAAATCTTTTACCAGTACAAATCCAGTTTTTTCATCCTTATCATTATAAATTACTCGATCAGCTTCTGCTGTTCCGTCCAGGATATTGTCAACCCACTAGAAAAAGAGCAAATTAAAATTTTGACTTAAAAAAAAAAAAAAAAAAAAAAAAAAAAATTACAGATCAGTTTAAAATGTTTACAAACCTTTATTGATAATTGCTTTGTTAAAGAAGGATAAGTAACATTTTTATAAATTTCTGGAGTTTCTTCAATTGTGTAATAATCTGGTGGAGTAAATTTTTCAATATGCTTAGGCTCAGCAGGATATGTTATAGTAGCATTAAGGCCTGCAAGTAAATAAATAAAGAATACAATTTATAAATGATAAAAATTCTTTTGAAAATAAAACTTACCATTAAATTCGTTGGTCGGATAAAAATCATAACCTCTGTAAATATCATTACGGTAGATTTTTTTTGTTGTAGTTTCGTCATTAAAAAATCCTTGCTCGAGTAATGACTGTTCCTCAGGAAATCCTTTTTTTTCAAGAACAAGTAATGCACTTCCATCACAACCTTTGAAAGTACCTTCAATGGCTATTTGCTTTTGAGTAGCATTATTTCTTAAAATTCTTTTTACCTCGAAATTAGACATATTTTTAAGTAAGTCATGAACGTCATCTTGGTCTTTAATTGTAGATTCAACTGCTTCAGTTCCATTGTTATTAGATTTATTGCCGTTGTTTATAATACTTTTTTCTTGAGTGTTTTGTTGACACAAAAAATCAACAGTAGTATCAGCCATTTTTTCACTTGTTATTACCGTTTGTTATTATTTCTTAACGTAACGCAACAAATACATAACACATAATATAATAACAATGGTCAATAACAATACTGTTATTATTATTATTTTTATTCAATTTACAAAATACCGACAGATGGCGCTAGTGTTAAATACCAAATTCAAAAATTCAAAATGGCGGTTCGAGTATAACACTGAAGCACTGAAGGTAGCCGTCAGCTGTGTCAATTTAAAAAAATTCTTTTAACAAATAAATTTCAATAAAAAAATGCTTCTAAAAATTTTCACTTGTAATTTTTATCAATTTAAAAAAAAATCAATGACAAAATACTAATTTGATATTAAAGAATAAGAAAATTTATTTATCTTTGTATTTTTCAAAGATAACAGTTAGATGCTGCAATTAAAAAAAATTACGTTCGCGAAACTTTAATTCGCTGACATTTTTTACTTTGATTAAAAGATAAAGAACTTCGACTACTGTTGCATAGACTCGGCGCTGGAGATGATTTAATATGCTGAGCGCAAGGTAAAACAATATTTTTAGCTGCTATCAATTTTTTAACATACACTTCAGCTTCTACGTGACGAATAGTAAACTCAGTGATGCGTTGTAGGCCAAGGAGGTTCTGTTCTTCTATTTCTCTTGTAGAGATGTCTTTCTGCAAAAAATGAGCAAAAGTAAGAATATAAATTTAATTATTTTACAACATGTCTAAAAAATAGAACAAACTTCTTGTAAAATGATAATGTCATCATTGGCACACTCGCACAACTTTTGAATATCTTTATACAATTTCTTCAACCTCATATCAGCTCTACTTAAGCGGCCTTTTTGATCATTCGTTTGTTTTTCTATTATCGCAACTGTCTCAAGCCTTCCTTCCTTTTCTTCTTTGATTTGTTTTAGATCATCCAGTATTTTTTTATGATTTTCTTGTGTCAGCTGATGAAAAAATAATTATTAATAAAATAAAATACAAAAATGATAAATTAAAAATATTACCGTGAGTTCATTTTTCATCAGATTCAACTGAGATTTTTTCTTCCTCAATTTTTCCGCAACCAGGCACATTTGTTGATCGATTTCACTCTGGATCGTCTGCTTAGATCTATCATCTTCAACAGGCCCCAATGACATTTTATACTTGTCATTACAAGCATTGACAACCTTCAAAGTATTCTCCATACTTTTAATTTCTTGCTCAGTTTTCCGGATAGTTGCGTCTAACTTATCGCCTTGCTCTTGTAGCTCATACTTATACTGAGCATTCTGTATCTTCAAATAAGTCGTCGCAGGTAAAAAACCATCTGTCCCATCAACATTAGACGTAGCCATGATATTGTCATAGCGCGACTGTAGATGCAAAGTTTGATATTGTTTCTCATTAATTAAAGACCTCAGTTCAGAACATTCAGTCAAAGCGACTTTATTTTTTAAATTCAATGCTTCTCTCAATATTTTCAGCTCTGTCATCCTTTCCTTCATTGCCTATCAAAGCACATCTACTCCATTAAAACAATACAATTTATAATCATCAATTATTGTAAAATAAAAATACTTACAGCGCAAATTTTTACATGACATTGTTCCAAATTATTAACCCGATTTCCAGTGCTTTGCATCAATTCCTCCGCTTGAGTAACCCGCAGCTCCATAATATTCTCAGCTACTTGTTTTTCTTCATTAACACGCACCGAGACTTTTAATTGCTTCTCACCACCTTGCATTAATAATTCAAGATTCTGTTTCTTTATTTTCACTCGTTCAATTTTCTCCCGATCTATCTCCAATGCACCCTGAACTTTTTTTATTTCATTCTAAAATATCAAAAAACAAAATCTTTAATTCCCTTTATTTTAAACCAAAGACAATATATACAATCATACTTACTTCAAGCTTAATCATCTGACCATACAGCAACTTGGCTATTTCTTTTCTATCATTCAACGTTTCCTGTAATCCCTCAATAACATTTTGCTTTCGTTCAAACTCCACTTTATCCACCGCTGTATTATTTTTACCAAGGCGAATCTTAAGATTCTGAAGCAAGATATCGAGTTTGTAAGCAGCCTCTTTTTTTTCCTCCAATTGTTTCTTCTCTTTGACTTGACACGCTGTCAATTGTTCGATTTTCTTTAATTCTCCCTGTTCTTGCAATTCAATAGTTTTTCCGTCGGCTTCTAAACGACTTATTTTGCTCATTGTCTTCAGAACCAAGCCTTGAAACCGTTTTATTTCACTTGTAATAGACAATTTTCGCTTTTCTTCTTTCTGAAAGAGATTCATTTTTTTTTTTTTTTTTTTTCAAATAAATAAACTAAGTTATTGATGAATAAACATTAAATAAAAAAATATAAAACGAACCTCAATCATTTCTTCAAGTTGCTTCGTTCTTTCTTCCACATTAACGCTCTGAGTATTAACTTCAGTCAAACTAGACTTCATATCATTAATTCTCTGAGCCGAATCATGGATTTGTCTTTTCTTATTCATAATACTCCCTCTCAACCCCTTAATATCAATTCTCAAATTTTTAATCTCCTGTTCCAGTTCATTAAAAATTCTCTTCTTAGTTTTGAACTCCAGATTAAGCATGTCAACATCTTCATCAAGTTTCATTCTCCTTTCTCTAGCACGCGCTACAATTTTCTCTACTTGCTTAATTTCGTACTCCAGAAGTCGATTACAATTAACCTGAGTTTCTAAAAATTCTTCAGACTGATTAAATGTTGTCAATTTTTCGACACCCGCAGATCTGAGAGTTTCAATTTCTTTAAGAATTTTCTGAATATCATTGTCGCGTTGCCGTAAAATTAAAACACTTTGGGTCCACCTCTCAATCAATTGCCTCCTTGAATCTAACGCTTGGGTATAAAATTTGGCCGTTCTCTCCAACACGACTTCCTTTTCGTAAATTTTATCGATCATTCTCACAACCGACCGCCTGTACACCTCCAGCTCACTTACCAATTTCTGCCTCTTGAGATCGAGTTTTTTAAACTCTTTCATATCAAATTTGGCAACTTTTTTCAACAACAGTTCATTTTCTTCATCCCGACTTAATATTTCTTCCAATTGTAAAATTTTAGTTTTGTTCAATGACACAATATCTTTAGAAATATCGAGACTCTCTTTCAGCCTTTTGATTTCTTTTTTCATCCCGGCAATGCGCTCACCCGTTTCTTTTTTTTCCTTCTCAAGTGTACAAAGTTCTTTTTCAATAGATGCCTCATTGTGTTCAGATAACTTCTCGTAATGATTCTCAGCTTCGTATTGAGCGACATAAGCCGTTAAAAGTTTCTGATTGTATGTGTGTTCTATTTTAACATCTCTTTTATATTGATCTATTGAATCAATCCGTTTTTTGTTATTTTCTAATTCCGTTGTCAACTCATTTTTTATTTTTAATTTTTTTTCAATCTATAAATAATTAATAAACAATATTAAATTTCTAAATGTGTAATTTTTTAATTTTTATTATGAATTACACCATTTAAAAATTTATTTTTAATTTAAATCAATTATTAACAAGTTTTATTTGCTTTAAAAAAAATCAGATTTAAATTTAGATTAAAAATAATTCATTTATTTGACTTTAATAATCAAGTTATTAAATAATTAAAATTTATACAATTTTTAACGATATCAATTTTGAAGATTATTGTTTGAAATATTATCAATATTTCAATAAATTATCATCAATAGATCAACAAAGATAATTCAGTTTTAAAAATATTGATATTTTTGTATTAAATTATAATAATCAACCTAAATAAAAAATATTAATATTTGGGTTTAAAATATTTTTATTAAATATAAAAATATCATTAATAAATGACTTTTTTCAGTAAATAAATTTAATTTAATTTTTTGTTTTTAATTTTAATTGTTGTAATTATCAGCCTAGTATCTAAAATTATATATAATTATTGAATGAACTTATTATTTGTTTATCATGCGACATTTACCTCTTGTTCAAGTTGTTTATTATCTTCGTTAGCAACCGGGATTCGAAACCCACTATCCCATCCTAGATCTTTTAAAATATCTTTGAATCCTCCCATGTTTTTAACTTTTTAATTGAAATAATATAAATTTACTATTTTTAACACTAATTAATAATGAAAATTTTTAAATTTCAGGCCTTAAAAAATGTGAAATTCAAAAGCATGAATTTTACTGCAACTGATAGCAAACAAAAGGTCAATGTCACTTTGACATATCAACTGATCATGCGCAGAGTAATTTTATTGGGTAAAACAACAAAATTCAAATTACGCTAAATTATTTTATTAATAATTATTTTTAATTTTTTTTATATTTTATTCACCAAATATGGAGAAAAGAAAATTTATTTGAGAGATTTTCAGACTAAAAATAAATTTTTAAAGATTTAATAAAAATAGTTTATTAAAAAAAATAATATTTGTGATAAAAACAATAAATATATTGATGTAAATTTATTTGTTTTTATTAAAAGAGGTGTATTAAAAATAGAAATTGTTTATGAACAACCTGTAGATTCTGTGGTAGGTCACGTAAGTTTCTCTTTTTAAGTTAAACGCAAAAAATATATTAACACTAATCCGTCACGTGGCGCTAGTTATATAGTTTTCCAACAAACACTATAGATATACTGTCACTGTCAACAGGAATAATAATAACAATAATGGTCAACTTATTCTGTATTACACAAAATGGGTATGCCGTTTTCGACTTATTGTAAAGACGTCAAACGTTCATTAGATTAATAGTTTATAGATCGTAAATATATTATTGTAATATAATAATGGAGGCAAGTACGAGTAGCGGTACGCGTACTACGCGATTTATGATGGAAGGTGTCGGTGCAAGAGTGATTCGTGGTCCTGAGTGGAAATGGGGCAAACAGGTTAGGATTTATAAATAAATAATTCATTAATTTAATTATTTTACAATCGATAAATAATTAACCAGACCCATTACTTACTTTAATTTTAAAAAATTCAGTAATTTATGTATTTAAATTTACAATTATTGATGATTGTTTACCAGGACGGTGGAGAAGGACATGTAGGAACTGTCAGGAACTTTGAGTCGCCAGAAGAAGTCGTTGTCGTGTGGGATAATGGCACAGCTGCTAATTATAGATGCTCAGGAGCCTTCGATTTGAGGATATTGGATTCTGCTACCACTGGTGTTAAACATGACGGTACCATGTGCGATACGTGCAGACAACAGCCTATTTTTGGTATCAGATGGAAGTGCGCTGAGTGTGGGAACTATGATTTATGCTCAATTTGTTATCATGGTGATAAACATCATTTAAGACATAGGTTTTATCGTATTACTACTCCTGGTAGTGAGAGAGTATTATTGGAGCCAAGAAGGAAAAGTAAAAAGGTTCGTTTTATTTTTATTTATTACTGGCAACCTTGCAGTCACTATGTGAACTATAAATAAATAAAATTTTTTTTTATTAAATAATGACTCTTGTTAAATTGCACTGTACTTTTTTAAATATTGGAGTTTTTAAAGATATAACCTCATCCTGATGTTACACTCATCAAGAGCTTTCATTTGAGTACCCACGTATATTTTTGATATATTTGTCATATATACATATATATATATATATATATATATATAATATATAAATATATAAAATATATGAAAAATTGATGTGGGTATTCAAATGAAAGGTCTCGATGAGTGTAACATCAGGATGAGCTTATATCTTTAAAAATGTAAATAGTTCACAAGATACAAGGTCATTTCTTAATTATTATTATACCTCCATACTGAAAATATTTATTGTGTAAAAATAGATCGCAATTCGAGGAATATTTCCTGGTGCCAGAGTTGTCAGAGGCGTTGATTGGCAGTGGGAAGATCAAGATGGTGGTAATGGCAGACGAGGTAAAGTCAATGAAATACAAGATTGGTCTGCTGCTAGTCCAAGATCTGCTGCGTACGTTATTTGGGATAATGGAGCTAAAAATTTGTACAGAGTTGGCTTTGAGGGAATGGTGAGTTAACAATACATCTTTTAAAAATTTAATTTTGTCTATTTTAATTACCGACATAATTTGTTTAGGCTGATCTTAAAGTAGTAAATGACGCGAAAGGCCAAACTGTTTATCGGGACCATTTACCATTGCTTGGAGAACAGGGTCCTGGACGACCTGGGCCACATGGATTACAGATTGGCGATCAAGTTAATGTTGACCTGGAATTAGAAATAGTCCAGTCGCTGCAGCACGGACACGGCAGCTGGACCGATGGAATGTTCGAGTGCCTTGGTACAACCGGTACTGTTGTAAGCATCGATGAAGATCATGATATCGTTGTATCTTATCCCAGCGGTAATCGATGGACATTTAATCCAGCTGTATTATCTAAAGTTCAAACCCCAGTATCTGCTGGTACAAGTACCGCCACTGAAAATCAAGCATTTGCTGTTGGTGATTTAGTGCAAATTTGTAATGATTTAGAAAAAATTAAACTGCTGCAGCGCGGTCACGGCGAGTGGGCAGAAGCAATGGCTCCAGTAAGTTATTCGAAAGTTTTCTTTTATAAATATTTATTTATCTTAATTTAATATTTATGCTTTGTTGGGTGGATTTTTTATTAGACTCTTGGAAAAATTGGGCGGGTTCAGCAAATTTATCACGACGGTGATTTGAAAGTCGAAGTGTGTTGTACTTCATGGACGTATAATCCTCAGGCAGTTGTTAAAGTTGCCAGCAGCGATAGAAGTATGCCTGGAAATAATAGCGGAGGTTTGAAAACTATTTAAAATTCTGTTTGTCTATACAGAAAGAATAAGATGACACTGGATATCATCCCAGATTATACTGAGTGAAAAAAAAATTATAACAATTATAATTGCATCACACCCACAATTTTCTTGAAAAACAAGCACCTTCAGAATGATCGCTACATTTTTTGTTACAAAAAAAAAATAAAAAAAAATATTATTGAGTATAATCTGAGATGATATCCAGTGTCATCTTGTTTTTTTTCCGTGTAGATAAATAAAATAAAAAATGAAATATGGTGTATTACTTTTAGAACGATTGTCAGCTTTATTGAAAAAATTATTTGAGACTCATGTGTCGGGTGACGTGAACGAGGAGCTCGTTAAATCCGCTGCCAATGGCGACGCTGTGCAGAGTGAAGAATGCCTGAAACGTTTAGACGCGGATGTCAATGGAGTATTTTCGGGTCACACGGCATTACAAGCTGCCAGTCACAATGGTCATCTAGATGTTATTAAAATACTATTGCGGTACAAGGCCGATGTTGAAATCGAGGTATCTATATTTTAATCTAATTTCGATATGCATATGCATATTACTTTATATTGTTGTTTTAAATAATAATGAATAATTCAATGGAATTAAATTTATAAATTTAATTTAGGACAAAGATGGTGATCGTGCTGTTCATCATGCAGCATTTGGAGATGAGCCTGGTGTAATGGCGTTGGTAGCTGGAGCGGGAGCTGATTTGAATGCCCGGAATAAACGGCGTCAAACTGCACTTCATATCGCTGTCAATAAAGGGCACGCAGGTGTTGTACGAACTTTATTGGAATTGGGTTGCCATCCAAGCCTTCAGGTTAGTAAATTTCAGATCGTTAAAATAATATATATATATATATATATATATATATATATATATATATATATATATATGTATATTGTAAAATGAAAAGTAAAGAAAAATATTAATAAAAAATAATATTAATTCAATACATAAATTATTTAACTCGGTCTCTGAAATCTCTTTTATAACGGCTATTATTAAACTTATTACCTAACAATAAAATACAAGTCACAGCACTTTAAAAGTACAACAAAATAAAATCTAAAATGTTAGTTCGTTATCGTAAGTTCGTAATATAAATGTAAGTACGCTGTAAAAATAAAATAGACATACTATAAAACTCGTAAATGTATTGATTTTTCAGGATGCTGAAGGAGATACTCCACTTCACGACGCTATTTCCAAGAAAAGAGATGACATGCTAACGTTGTTATTGGACCACGCTGCAGACATTACTCGTACTAACAATACCGGTTTTAATGCTTTACATCATGCCGCTCTCCGTGGAAACCCAAGGTAAGTCTGAATACTTTATTATACACACTTTGTCTATTAAATTCAACGGTTTATTTTATAATTACGTTGATGCACTAGACAAACTCCATTCATTATTTAATTACTCACCGTTTTACGAGAAATTAGTACTATTTTTCTGGCTTCTTCCTCTGTTTAATTTGCGTTTATGGGTTACAAAAAAAAATAAACTCTAACAAAGTGTTAGTACCTTTCGAATTATCGAACAAAGACCACATTAACGACTATTGTTTAAAAAGTAAAAAGAAAGATAAATGAGGAAGCGTTATAAATAAAACAGAATCGTTTAAGCTTAAAAATAGAATCTACAAAAAGATATTATTATTTTATAAAATAGAGTTTCGGTATAGTGTGGTGAGTATACGAGTTATGTCTCACCATCTTCTTCTCGCCTATGAAACCAAGCTTCCAGCAAGTTGCCCAGTAATGGCTGAGGTTGGATGGGTTACTGCAAGTCTCTCTGGTTGAACAGGGATTTACTGAATTTATCACTTGAACTCCGGGTAAAGGATTAGGAGACATTCTCCTGTACCTTTTAAACGTTTATCCACATTTTATCGCAAAAAGTTGTCTGTTGAGAAGTATTAAGTTTATTTAAGACTTATAAACTCATAAGAAGATAACCTGTCCTTTAAATATTATATACTTAGATATGAATCTTTATCACAAATATTATTACAACTCAACAAATATTTAGGGTGTATTATCAATTAATTAATCAAAATAGTAGCAATAATAATAATAATTATTATTTTTGTTGGTAGTGCTGTTGTATTATAATGAAAACAATGGATTAGACTAAGACGATTGTAGTTTGTGGCATTAGGGATTTTAGGATTAGGAGGTTTAATCAAGCTCGGTGAAGCTTGCGAGAGAGTAGACCAAAGATGACGCAGGATTTTGGTCTGGGTTCTGGACCAAGCTCGCATTGTTCACGGCGATTAATTCATTGTCGCTTACCGCATCTCGCCACAAACCACTGCCTTCACCTACCTTTCACATGCCACTACTTGTCCTTCTCCACCAGCATCACCGGCACTTGCTTCTATTCCTCTTCTATTCTCCTCCATATATTCACTTCCTTCTCCACCGGCTTCACCACATTTTCTCATACTGACGCTTTTATTCAGCAATATGTACCCAACAATTTACTAATCCATTTACCCACCTTCCTACTTCCTATTCACCGCAAATTGTCGTCATTTACTTTTATTTTTTACAAATATTTATTTTTTTATCTCTTCAAATGTACATTCAGAGTCATTTTTTAGAATAAAAATTATTCAAAATTTTAAAAATAATTATATTAGTAGTTCCAAAAATTAAATTGTAAATTGAATTATATAAAAAAGATAATTGTATAAATTTTCGGGAGCCATTTTCTCCACCGGTAATTTTTTACAGCGCATAATTGTAGCAACACTTAATAACAAGTATAATGTAGAGCGTGAATAGATGAAAACGATTTTGATAATACGTTTAACTAGACGGCCTTTAGATATATGTAAAACTATGCAGATTGTTTGCTGACAAAAATCTCGCGTATATATACATATATTCCCCGGAGCAGTGGTTGGTGTGATAGCTGTATAAGTCTCTACTGGGCGTTTACCTCGTGGTGAGGTATACCGGCTGAAAACTAACTTTGGCATATAAATGTATGTAAAAGTAAAGGAGGAGAGCCCGTATACCTCAACAGTAGAGTTAGAGTCACAGGTGACCGAGAAGGAGGAAGAACAAGGCTCTGAGATGCAGTGCTAGCTGGTAGCATCGTTAAAGTGCTCTAGGGATGAATTAGGCTGTTAATGTTACCTCTTTGATATGCGAATTACAGAGCTATAATTCTCAGCCGCTTATTAACAACTATTTTCAGAGCAAACTTCTGTTCGCCGGTGTATTTGTTTCCATCAGCCTGAAAAACAAAAAGTTTTTAATAAAAATAAATATTGAAGACGTTCATTACAGTCAAGTAAAATAAGTACTGATATTTAAAGAAGTTATTTGGGACTTTGAATAAATTTTTAAATGTATTAATAATTTTATAACAATTTATAAATTTTTATTATTTAAAAATTCATCAAAATAATTTTAAATAAATGATTTTAGATTGTTTAAATCTAAATATATTTAATAATATTAATTTTAAATAAAAAAAAAATTATATTTTTTCATAAAATATAAGAATTAAAAAAAAAAATAAGACTTGAAGAATTAAATTTTTAATCTAATAATTTTCTGAAATTATAAAAATTTTTAAGGACAAATAACTAGACGATTAAATTTGTCAAAACTAAAAAATAAAAATTTTTATCAACTACCGAGCTTGACGTATGAACGTCCTTACAAATAACACACCATATATTACATGCCACACATTACGTAATGTAATAAAGAAAAAACAAAGCCACCGTAAGAGAAATCCAGCACATTTATGAATTCATTTTTATTTAATATTAAATAATATCGTCTACCGTGTGCATGCTGTGTAGCCTGTCATTTATATATTTCACAAGAAATCTCAAACTACCTTACACTCGGATGCAATTTACTTCCAAAGGAAACTCCATCAATCAGCCCCAGCACAGACGGTTTAAAAGCAGTCACTTGGGCGTCGTCGAGGTACCTCGTAACCCGTAGTCGTCATCTACCTCTGGGTTTACAGACGGTGTGACGCTGTTAAAGACAACTTCTTGCACCTATGTCATCTGTCACCCGATTACTCGCTCCCTATTCTTCATTTAGCCTTTTTTTTACCTATTTTTTTTTTTATTTATTATCCCAACAACTAATCGATATTTCATTCAGCTCTTTTTTACCCCATTGTGTTGTCTACTTTTTTCTATTTATTTTTATTTTTACTCTTTCTATTTACAGTGTGACTATGATAGATGTGTCCAGTATGTTAAATTATTTGGAGCACGAAGCAAGAAAGTGAGATTGGATTAGCTGATAAAAATAATTGGAATAATTGTGCCGGTGTGTTTATTTATAGTTTTGTTTTATACTCTGATACTTGTCTCATATTTTTATTAAAACTTTTATATAAATCCGACCGGAGAGGAAAATACGAATAAAAATAAAAATACAAACGCGTTAATTCGAGATAAAGTACACACGTATTGCAATACTATACATGAATTGGAATATTACAAAGCTGGCATACGGGAAATAGAGTTAGAGGAAGTGAACGTCGGTGAGACCACAAAATGTGAGATGGGCGTTGGGAATAGTAGACGGTTGGGACCATTTTATGCATACCAAATGCATAACTTCCTTTCTCTCTTTCTCTCAGCCTTTTCCGTCTCTCCCACGCAGTTTTCTCTATTCAGATGCATTGCATACACGGACAATTGATTTATAGCCTAAACTGTCCTCTTCTCTTTTGATAAATATTAATTTCTCACCGGTGCCATCCTATAAGTAGATTCGCACTATTCAAACTTTTAAATTACTCTCAACTCCTTTTTATTATTATTATCATTATTACCATAACTATAACTATTATTTTTTAACAGTCTACTTTATTCACACTTGTTCCTTTTAATTCACCGGATCACATTACCTGAAAGTGCCGAAAAAATCTAGTAAATCTGAGGATAAAAAAATAAAAACTTTTTTATACCATTATTTTTATTATATGAATGAATGAGAGAAATATTAAATTCTTTTCTTCTATTTCCGAGCTATTTGCCAAAAGCTCAATAAAATTTCGCGCATCCGCGGCGCCTTCACATATCATACAACTTCGCTCGTTATTTCCCTCTCGCTCTTTTCTCACCCTCCTTACTATACCGGGGAGTCTGGCACCGTTACTTTTACTCCCTTCTATTCTACACACTATTGTGCCCATATATCTTTATATACCCAAACCCATACAGATATACACCGTATCTTTTCATCTTTATACGTGTATAAAGATACACACGTATATATCCGTACGACCACACAAATATCAACAATCAAAAGTTATCAAGTAGTAATGGTACGAGTAAGGTATGGCCTTGTTATGTGAGCACAAGTTTGCTAGCAACATTTAAGTAGTGACGATGTCGTTTAGGTCGGACGCTCCCATGCACATTTTAGTAGTCCCACCCACATATACCTCTATTTATTCACATATACATATCTTATATGTACAATGTATTACTTATATGTACAATCTTTAATGCTATCCCGAGCAGGTTATACCGAGTCACGAAGCTACATAACACACGGTTGAGCTTGAGCTCGAGTTTAAGGAGAGGTATAGCTACCGGGATTGTTTTTACGACGACCCAGTTGCCATAAGATTTATTTCGACATTTTACAAATTTTCCTATTGCCCCAGATGTGTATTTCCAAAGTGTCGGATAAGTTATTTCGGGAACAATCTAAAACTTTTTTCGCTTATACCATAACCCGAACTTGGACGCGTATATCATGTGTACATTGTACATATTATGCATGGATAACATATACATTATGTAATATATATATATATAATATATCGGGGGTGCGCTGAAGAAATTTGCTTTTTTCATTAATGGTTTATAAAGTTGGGCGGAGAACCGATAGATCTTGTTTAAATTTTACCCATTAATATTCTTCGACATAAAATTGTCGGAAAAAAAGTTTGTCTTCTTTTTTTTTAAATTTGAATGAATTTATTCAAAGTTTTTCTTACAAAAGAGATGAATTTCGTTGGAAAATGTTGAAATAAATCTAATTTATTTCCGATTCTACGACACGTGAATATTCCCCTTTGATTTGAGCCTCTAGGTTACGCATTACAATTTTATATTTGATATTAAAAGAAATTTCTTATTATTATATTCATCTCGTGATTGGTCAGAGGGAAATGAAACCGCTGGAATTATTTTCGTAGCAAGTTTTTCGGTCTATAAAAAAGGACAGATAAAATTTATGGATATTGTACTGTTTCAGTGATATGGAGATCTTGAGATTGTCACACATAAAATTAAATTATTTTATTTCGGTTGTAATATT